ACAGCTTAAAAGCCCTTGGGCAGTCAACCCCAGAATGCCATGCGGTGAAAAACAAAAACAGACAGGTCCACATACATGGAAGCAAGCCAGATTCTCAGCCTTAGCCAAATATGGAATTGTTTAATACAGAGAGCACTGACCATCGGGAAGGTGGAAGGCGGAAGCCAGCACCATCTTTAAGGCGCGGCGGCACTTTACAGCTCTCTACACTTCACTGTGTATTATTGCATATCTTTAGTTTATTTTTTAAAAAGATGCACTTTATTTTTGTGTATGAGCATTTTGCTTGCATGTATGAATGTGTACCATGTGCATACCTATGTCCCTAGAGGTCAGAAGTGGGTGCTATGGAACTGGACTTATGGATGCTGTGAGATAGCATGTGGATGCTGAGAGCTGAACCCAGGCTCTTTGCAAGAGCAGCAAGTATTAGTAATTACTGAACCATTCTCCAGCCCCAGATCTTTATAACACTCTCTACCAAATGACCATTATTTCTACCCAGTTTGAAAGCGAAGGAAGAAATAAAACTGATTTAAGTGACATCCCTGAAGCCACACGGCATTTGGTGCAGATACCAAATCTGCTCATAACTGTCCATCCAATGCGCAAGCTTAGTCCTTGCTCTGTAGTAAAAGATCAAGTGGCTCAACACTGCCCAGCTAGGTTAACAGCAACTGAAAGCTGCATGGAGAAAACCCTGCAGAGATACCACCTTAGAGGACCCGGTGTGGCTTCTGGAAGTGGAGAGGACAGAGGATGGAGAGGAAGGAAAGAGACATTTCTCAGGACCTGTGGGGTAGCAGGTGTCAAAGGCTGGGAGTGGTGGTGAATATACTTTTACATGAACTGGTCACTGTTACCTACTAGTTCTTCATCTTTTTAAACTCTAATTTCTAAGTGTCAATAGATATATAACAGCTCCAGAGAAACTTCAAAACCAAACTCTGTTAGAGAAGCAGTGGCCTGACCTTTTGTATGCCCCTGGATGATATCAGATGTAAGCTGTACAGGTGGGAAATATCTTTCAAGGGATGCTTTGTGTCAATCAATTCTAATCGTCTCTGGGAACATAGCTCTGAGTATATTTGCTACGAGCACACTGCAAAGCCTTATATGTTTGGGCTCTGGTTGGCTCTTTCAGTCAAAGCTGCCACACTCAAATCACAGTAGATGTTTTCTCTGCAGTTTCTCAAACCTTCCTTTAAACCAGTGGTTCTCAACCTGTGGGTCACGACCCATTTGGGGTTGTCAAGCAACCCTTTTACAGGGGTTGCATATCAGATATCCTATAGATCAGGTAACAATTAAATAATTTTATAATTGGGAGGGTCACCACAACATGAGGAACTTTACTAAAGAGTCACAGAGTAAGGAAGTTTGAGAACCACTGGTTTAAACAGAGCAACAGTTGTTAAGAGTGTCAACTGTCCCAGTGCCTAAGCAGAAGTTCAAATAGAAACTGAGCTGCTCAATGTGAGGAGACACTTAAATGCCTCAATTGTATCATACTGACAATATTTACTGAGTGCTTGAACATGCCCAGACAAGCTTGGGTTATGTGACAAATCCTTCCACTTGTGAAGCAATAGAGCATATTGTTGTCATGTTGTTTAATGTGATAAATGAGTAAACCCCAAGTTCTGGGGCTTAGCACATTAAAGACATCCTTCTGTGTCACATGAGTCCAAAATGGATGTTTCTAATTCAAGAAGACCGTGGACCATCACCAAACACATCTGCTGTCAATAGCAGTCAGCAGCAGCTGGCCTAGGTTGATCACACAGCATGGTTATAGCCAATGCCTGCCCTCCATCTCCCTGAATCAAAAGTTCCTTACTTCAACTTGCCAAACTTGCCCTGTCCCCCAAATATGGAAGTATTCCTATTTACCATGGGAGGGTGGGTGAGGACATGGGACTGCCATTATCTTGAGTGATACTCTACTCACAGCTCCACGAAAACCCAGGTGATAGACTCTTCAGGATAACTGCTGCCCTATAGAAAAAGACAGAGGTGACTTCATAGGGAATCCAACCATTTGGGGATGCATAGAGAGCCCCTGGGATGAGGACCAGAGGTTGATTCTTGAGAGAACATAGGGCATCATTCGCCTGACAGGGTTATCTCTAATACAGGAAGCCTTGAACTTGTTTGCAGATATTGTTTTGAGCTCTATCTACAGACTGTCTAGAAAATTGGCTTAATTTATCAGAGGACCGTGTTCCTATGCAACTAAGGGTGACACATTTCTGTCCTGCTCGGAAGGCTAACCTGGAAATCAATGGCCACCTAATTATTTAAACTTTCATAGGGAGCTCCACTTAATAATGGAAAACCTGCATTGTCCTTGGCCTGTCAGCTGAAGAAGTCATTAAGAGACCTATTTCTCTATCATTGCATATTCCTTGGGGGGGGGGGTTGTCACTGAGTTCCTTAAGTGTGTGTGTATGTGTGTGTTTACACATGCATTCATCTTTGCAAATTACAGGTTTGCATAGCTTATTTTGATTTGAAACTATGCATACAGGATGAGAACATTGGATAGAAAGTGTCACAATGTAGGAGGAGATTGTTCTTTGTGTTTGGGAGACAGTAAAGAATGTATTGCGCCTTGACTTGTACTCCTTCCAAACCATCTGTGGTTGTCTGGAAGAAAATGGCCCCTCAAAGGAAGTGGCACTATTAGGAGGCGTGGCTTTGCTGGAGTAGGTGTGGCCTTGTTGGAGGAAGTGTGTCACTGAGAGGGTGGGCTTTGAGGTCCCCTATGCTCAAGCTACCCCCAGTTCGGCACAGAGTTCACTTTTTGTTGCCTATGGATGAAGATGTAGAGCTCTCGACTCCTCCTCCAGCACCATGTCTGCCTGCTTGTGGCCACAATGACAATGGACTAAACCTCTGGAACTGTGAGGAGGCTCGTGCCATGGTCTTGGTGTCTCTTCACAGCAATAGAAACCCTAAGACACCATCTGTTGAACCCTAAGCTGTGCTTGTTTAGAGATGGGCTTTTAGGATGTAGGTACTTTGGGGGTAGTCAAGGTTAGAGATTAAAAGGGCTTTGTCAGGTAGATAGAAACCGACCTGAGTGCTGTTCCATAAGAGGCAAGTGGGACATGACACCCAAAGAAAAGAGCTGTGAGGGCACTAGGAAAAGGCAGCCATCTGCAAGTGAGGGCAAGAGGCCTCCTATGACACCAGCCTTCTAACACAATGACTTTAAACTGCCAGAGTCTGAACTATGAGAAAAGAAATTCATTGCTAAACCCACACAGTCTATGATGTGTTTGAATTGGAAGTTTTAGGGAGTTAAGGCAGGAGCCACAGGCACAAAGGCTTGCAGGCCTTCAGTACCTGTCTGCGGACTGCATCTGCTTCTGTAAACAATGATGCACCAGTGAGAGCTAATATCATTATCTCTGCATGCTAGGACTGCAGGTGATTTTCTATGCACTTTACTATTGGATTTGAAGAGTGTGCGTACACAAGTTTGGTTTTGAGTAGTTCACGTTTTTCCATCTATAGGGAAGTTTTCTACAATTAATTGCCTCTTGTATAAGCATAGCCTTCTTTATCAGCAGTAGGGCTATGTAGCAGAGAGTTCTGGACAGGTCTGTTGCCCTATAACTCCCACTGTTTCTTGTGCCTTTCTTGGAGGCCCATGAGTTTAGCTAATCTAAAGGATGCTAACGTCCTATGTGTCCAAGTCATTGAGATGGCCAAACAAACAGAACAAACAGAAAACCAAAACCAACCGAATAAAAATCCCCAAGTATAACAAGAGAGGAAAAAAATAACTGGGCTTGTTGTGTGCAGACAGCATTGAGAGCCACATCCACAGCACGGAGCAGCACTTGGCATGGTTGAAAGGGACAACCTGTCATCTACACAGCAGAGCCCAGCAACAACTGAGTAATACCCAACTAGGTATGTTGAATATTGTTTTCCATGTGACCTAAAATCTATTTCAGACTGAGATTTATTTTAAATTCAAAGGAAAGGGACTGAATTTTAATTATGCACCAGAAAAGTGACTTTAAATATTGTCACCATCCTTAAGCAAAAGACATGGAAATGGTTGACCGAGTGTAGAGAATCTTATTGCGCCTGTCACAATTGTCTGCCTATGAGGCCCTCTGAAGATGTGTGTAAGTAGCCCAGACTGGTCTTGAACTTGCTGTTCTTTCCTTTCTGTGTGCTGGGATTGTAGGTATGCACCACCACTCCTGGTAAAACAGTGTCTACATTAGGTCTGAGATCCCAAAAGTCTACTGGCTGGAGTCAGGTTGCCGGCACTCTATCAGCTCTGTATGGTGGGCACTTTCATCCTGGAGAGTAGTGAGATAAAACATACAAGAGCACAGCTCCATCACAGGCACAGTGCAGACTCAGGCTACTCAAGGAAGCCGCACTCAAGCCTCATTTCCCAAGGTCCTTCATATTGAAATGAATTGGGGCTGTGATCTCATATGGAAAAGCCTGGTCTAAAGCTAAACCTCTAACTGAAGGGCACACTCACTTTGGCCTGAGCAGCTTTTCCTCATTGACGACCTCTGGAAAGGTCACAGCCAACAAGAATAACCCACAACAGATGCAAATGGACTTTACTCTTACTTGTATTTTTAATTTATTTCAAATTTCAGAAGCTCTTGCACCTTAGTTTAAAATCCCAGTGATAATTAGATGCCATGGAAGTTTATGCCCACCCTCACAAATCAGAAAGTGCCACTGAAGTGTGAACCAGGACTGGTGTCTGTGGAAATGATTGCATTTCTGGCTGAGCAATGTTCCCTCTTCCCGAGGTCTCTCCGTTCTGAACTTGCCAGTGGTGTCAAGCAGGTATCTCTCTGCCCCACAGGCAGACCAGCAACAAGCAGAGAGGAATCCACGAGGAAGGACATGCCTGCTGCAGGGTTCACACACTTTTAGCACACCAGTAAGTGGACCCCAACCCATTGGTAATCTCATTTAGGAGAAAAATCTACAGCACTCATTTGTTAAAAAAAAAACAAAACAAAACTCTGCGGAGAAAGGACATATATACAATTTACTGTATGCAAAATACATCTGTTCTGTAAACTGGTTTGTGTTTAGCACACTCCACATATAGAAGTAAGTTAGGTACCCAGCTATGACATCCAAATAGCTGGCTCTAAGATAAATGTATCTGGGGGAACAAACACTCCTATATGTTTTAGTGTCTAAATAGAAATTCAGTGTAAAAAAAGTTAAAAACAAAACAGGAGAGTCACTCTTGAATAGCCATGGGCACGTGGATTATAATCAGGACTGTTCATTCCTGACAAAGTGCTACCCTAAGACCACTGGTGTCATGTTCTCAGTGCCTGCCCGAGTCTCCACATTTGATTCCTTCTAGACTTGGAAAGTTCTAGAAGGGTCAGAAACTGTCCAAAGTCTGGGATCCTTCCCCCTTTTGACTGTCTTGATGCTGCAATGGAAATCAAACATAATTTTAGAAACTGGATTTGAGTTACAAAAGAAAGCAAGAATGCAGAATCCTGAGATGGCTCTGTCAGGAGCCCAAGAACTATGGGAAACACAGATTTACTCAAGAGACAGGTCACTGGTCTCATCATTAGTTTAGACTTTACCTTCTTTTTTTTTTTTTTTTTTTTTTTTTTTTTTTTTTTTTAATTTTTCGAGACAAGGTTTCTCTGTATTACTTTGGAGCCTGTCCTGGAACTAGCTCTGTAGACCAGGTTGGACTCGAACTCACAGAGATCCACCTGCCTCTGCCCACAAAGTTCTGGAATTAAAGGCATGCACCACCAATGTCCAGCTTAGAGATTAAGAAAACATATGTTCACAGAAGTGTTTGTTGTACAACAATGCCTTAGCACTTAAAAAAAAACTCTCAGTCCCATAAACCTTGATATACATATGAATATCTAGCAGCTTATTATTTTCACTATGTTAAAAAATATCTAATTGTATATCCTATATATCCAGACGTAATCACTGTGTATGTGTGTACACCTACATATATCTATAGGCACAAACTATCTAGTCACATAATATAAACGGATTCTATGTAATTAAAGGCGTATTATACAATCTATATATTTATTTTGGTTTTTCACCTAATATGTTAAAATCACCTGTGTTTCAATATTTTAAAAACTGAAAACGACGGCCCCATAAATTCATTTATATGAAAGCGTTACACTTACCTCAAGCAATTTCAACTTCACTTGTCAGTAACGAGATGGGCTAAAAACAAAAACAGAACAGAGAACTGTAGTGCTCTGGGCTAGGTTGTAGGTGGTCCCATCACCTCTTCTCAGAAGCAGGAGAAGAATACAGACTAAACCCTGGAAAGTTTGCCAAGGAAAAAGAATGCCCGATAAACCTGGTTGTCCTAGCAACTGTCTGTACTGCATTTGAAAGGATGGGGGCAGGCAGAATGAGGCAAACTAAGACACATTCTATGGTTAAAAGGCTGTGGCCACTAGGAACATGTGTGGTAAGTGTCACAAGGGACATGCGTGCAGTACATTAGAACAGCAAAAAACAGATGACAGCAGGTGACTCTTGGCCACTGATGGCTTCCTGAAGCTTGACTCTAGGATCAGGAGGCAGAAACCAGGGTAAGCTCTGCAGGGGTCTTGCCAGACTCAGTATGTATGAGCTCATGTGTGTGCATATCCTATAGGTAGCTTCCGGATTACCAAGCAGTACTAACCCCACCATCCTCTCACATTTCCTCAAGACCAGGACCTTGACCCCCATGCAGAATTTGTGCAAAGGGAGGTAGGAGAACTCCATCTGGAGGGTGTGAGCTCCACTTCTGGCACACGCATTCGTCACACAGCAGAAGAGCCTCCAGGCGCCTTCTGTAAGACCAGCACAGAGGGAGCAGGCGCAGGCAGGGACACTGTAGCCACACTAGTATCCCACTATGATCAAGCGTGCTTTTCCTTTGGGTGGGAGAAATGCAGCAGGTGGGTTCTTCCCACTTCTCCCAAAGCATCTGCACAAAACGTACCCTCTACAGCTCAGTAACAGCGCCTACGACTGAAGGCAACTGTACATGTATGATAGCAACAGTACATGGTCCCCAGCGTGGTCTGTGAGCATTAGATGGGAAGACATCAAGCAGGATGTAGTGGCTAGTGCCAACAACCCAGCTCTTGGGAAACTGCTGCAGGAGGATTGCCATGTGTTCCAGGCCAGTCTGGGCTACAAAATTCAAACCAGTACAGAAAGGATACAAATTATGCCAGTTCCAGCTGAGCAGACCCAATACTTCTGTGATGGCAACCTGACGGGACTTAGAATCACCATGGAAACACACCTCTGGATAGGTCTGCGATGAATTTTCTGGATTAGGTTAATTGGGGTGGTAAGACCCACCCTATATGTGGGTGGCACCTTGCTATAGGCCAGGGGTCCTAGACTAAATAAACAGGAGAAAGCAAGCTGAACACTAGCGTTCATGACCAGCAGCTTCATGCCCCTGCCACCATGACTGACTGTGCCTTGCAGCTGTGAGACAAATCCTTCCTTCTATAAGTTACTTGTGCCAGGAATCTTGTTACAGCAAATGTACGTCCCCAGAGGAAAATGCCTCTCCTTGGTGTAGACTGTGTAGGAGGCAGAATTTGCCCTATGAAGAACATCTCAGGCTTCAGTGCTTACAGGAAAGCCCATTGCCTTTTTTTCCTGTAGGCAAAAGCACATGACCCACCACAGGCCATAAGATAGACTAACTAGAGGTTGTGGGTGTATGTGCATTGAACAGCAAAGATTAAGGGGGACTGTATCAGATTTGTTTATGAAATTGAGCACGCCACTAACAATATGCGTTTTACTTATGAAGACTTTCCCCTGCCCAGCTCCCTACAAGGTAATAGCTCGGTCATATTGACCCTAGCTTGGTTAAGTGTCAGTGAGTGCCTTGACTGTCACAGAGATTTCCCGAAGGGCTGCGCACCTTCGTGAAGCATTGACCATTTTTCACTCACATATGTCTTTGTCCTGGTGACAGGCCGCACGTCAGTGCTTGAGTGGAATCATGTTACCAATTCCATGTGAAGGGGGCAAGTGTCCAGGCTTATGTGTATAGAAGGTCCTCTAGGGGGCTTCCCTGTAATCCATGACTCTGTGGGCGTAGTGAGGGGAGGCTGAGCGGCACTGAAACGGCTGGTAGGTTAGCGAGGCACGTTTATCTATCATGTGTGACCCGCCTTTAGACTCTATCAGAATCGTCCATGTAATAAAAGCATCAAGAACTACACACAAACCCGTAAGTAGGGGATTGCACTAATCTAGATGTGAACCTTGACCCTTGAAGCTTCTAGGCAAGTAGAGCCCTCACTGACACCTTTTACCGAAGTGGAAACTAGGGTGTAAGGGTGTCGTTAACATCTCATGATGACACAGTGAAACAGTGAAGATTAACTCCATTTAGACCCCAGAGTCTTCTAACAGGGGCTTGGGGTCTTGTAGAGGCTGAAATGACTGTGTCCACAGGGCATCTGAAGTCTCACTCTCATCTTCAAAAAACAAACCTTCTACTCTGTGTCCTCCTCGCCCAGAAGAGCGCGTTAATCAGAAGACCCACCAGGTCCCCACAGGACAGTGGGCACTCAGGAAAGAGGGTAGGTCTAAGTGTCACTGAGAAAGCCGATTCTGTGACACAGGAAGGACCCTGAAGTCTTTGGAACTTAACATTATTGAAACATTAAGACAAAGCAAACAACACCTTCAACCTGTCTTGTCAACCATCCCACGGCATGCAGAAAGTTCAAAGGAATCTAGACTGCCTGTGGAGAATGGAGGATCAACTTCAGGCACTAACAGTCCTAGCTTCACCTCTCACAGGAGCATGGCATGCTGTGTCCTCCCCAAAGACAAACCTTCAAAGGTATACCAAAAGCAGAATCATCACAAAAACCACCCTGAAACAGCAGGTATATAACACTGCTGGAACGGTCCATCTGTTTTGAATTTCAGCATTCACAGTCCCAGATGCACTGTTCCTTGGATGACATCTGTTTTCCCTGTACTCTCTTGCAATCACTTCCTTCTCCTCTGCAGCAAGTCAGATCCAAGCGTCAGCAAGGTTTACTGTGTTCCTGTTACACAGGCGCGGACTGTGAAGTCAGTAGAACCACTAGCCCAGAGAGCCAAGTGATTGCCCTAGAAGCAGTGTGCCTGTGTGACTGGGTGGGGCTCACTTAATTCATCATTGATGTTTAAAGAGGACATCTGGCCCCCTTTTACACCCAAAGGCTCAGGCAAGTCATGGCGGGACAGTTCCAAAGATGAGAATTGGTGAATACCTACCAGGCATGTCCAAACTTTGACTCTCAGGGTCCCAGGTTAGCTAAGAAAGCAATCCAACATAAAACTATAAAGCTACTGAAAGTGTGATGAGATTTGTTTTGTTTTCATTTTGTAACTCTGGCTGCCCTGGAACTCACTCTGTAGATTAGGCTGCCCTCAAACTCACAGAGATCTGCCTGCCTCTGTCTCCTGAGGGCTGGGATTAAAGGTGTGTGCCACCACTGCTCAGCAGATTTGTGTTTCTTGAGTGTGAACTTTGTGGATGAGGATCATGTCAGTATCAAAGGTTGGTGGTGATTTTGACGTCACTTCTAAATGCCAAAGTGACCTCAGCAGTGTGGGAGTGCCAAGGATCTCCGCACTCTCAGAGGCAATCCTCTCACTGGCAAGCTGAGCCTGCTCTTCCTACCAGAGCGTTTATGCCCATCCTTCTTGCACTAAGGTGGGCTTGTCACCAGCTGTGGGGTAGTCAGCAGATGAGCCTTCCATCAGAGCTGCTGTGGTACCGCTTTATGCCAAACTACTCCACCCGAGGGGCTCTACCTTCCCAGAGGGATCGAATTCCATAACTGAGGGAGGGGAGGGACAAAGGCTGCATCTAGCCCATGAAGCTGACTTCTAACAGGCCACACACTTGCTTCAGAGCTCCCCACTGCCGAAATGGGTCCTCCTAGCCTTCTGACCCTTCCTTTCACAACTATGGATCCTTGTAAACATTTTTCACCCCAAATACCATCTCAGCATCTCTGCCAGAGACTCAACCTGCCACACTCTCCCAGCCAAACAGGCCTCTCTCCAGCACCTTCCAAGCAGCCTTGATGGAATGTCCTGCTTGAGAGCAGGCATTTGGTGATGTCATGGCCAGGAGGCCAGCACCAGATGTCAGTTCTACACACTCAGCAAGTCCTCTGAGAACTGATGGTGGGGTGTCATTGGTAGTAAAGCTCACCTCTGGCCTGGAAAAATCTCAGCTAAGAAATGTGAGACTCCCTCCAAGCTCTCCACGCTGGGAAGAAGGAGGTCAGCACACAGGACTGGCAAGCCATAGCACCGTCTACGTGCATACTCTGTACCAAACCTGGTAAACTGAGAGCTGTCTTGAAGCAACCTCACAGAACAGCCTTCCAGCATCCAGGTTCAGCACTCATCAGAAAAGTAGATGTATAACCCCCATTTCAGATTCTTACTGACTCTCCTGTTTATCTCTCCACTTCAGCCATGGCTTGAACATCTGAACAGCTCCAAGTTCAGAAATAGAGATTCTGATTACCTGGATGATGGTATTGTGGAGCTGGGGTGGGGAAAACCACTTTGGGAAAGTAATCAAGGCATGAAACTCACAGAGCACCACAACGTGAAGACACAGTAAAGACGGGAGATGTCATCTATGAGAAATCTGCCCTAATCGGAAACTGACTCTGTGGGACACCTTGATTGCCCATTCCCCAGCCTACAGGACCATGAGAGAGAAACTTCTGCTCTCCATAAGCCACACTGCTTACATTGCTTGTTAGAGCAACCAGACATTAAAATGATACCTCTCCCCACACACGACAAATTGAAACAAAAGATTCTTCGTTTTGAGCTTTTAGGACGTTCCAAGTTGTAAGATGGGGGAAGGAAAAAAAAAAAAAAAGAACTTTTAATCCTTCTAAAAGGAGGAATTTTGCTAACTTTCTTGTTCCGTTCATCTTGAAACCAGCGCTGATGGGACATCTGCTGTTTCTAGCCAACACTGCTGAAGATAAGATGCCTCTGATTAGAAGGGAGAGTGAGTCCTGCATCAGGTGAGGAGTTCACACTAGCAAATTCCTCAATGTGATGTCAGTTCCTTTAAGGGGAAACATCCCACGTGGGGCATGGGGCTTCTAGGACAGGAGGATTGGTTCCCTGTGCATCAATGTTTGACTCACTCCTTTGCAACTGAGGTGGGGGGAAACACTGGCTGACTTGGCTTGGAGCCAACTGTGTAGACCTGGAAGGATCATAGAAAGGCTGCCCCTGGTGGACATGTCTGTGTGAATATTTAGAGGGCTGCAGCAGAATTCACTTGGCAGGTAATACTCAGAGTTATCTGGGGGAATCCAGACCCACAAGAAACTCCAGGGAACATAAAAGTGCAAAGATTTTGGAGGGAAAGTTCTTTTTCCCGTTGATTATAGTTAATTTTCTGGAGAGAAAGAAAGGAAAGGAGGGAGGGAGGAAGGAAGAGAAGCAGAGAAGGTCTTTAAATCACTACTTAGTGATTTGGAGCAGAGGAGGGCTAGGTAAGGGTGTGCATGCATGTAATCCGTGAGGAGCTAGAGTCACTCATAGCATTTTAAGATGGCAATCAATGTAGGGGCCACCCCGTTCCATTGCTGAGCAATCCACTGGGAATGTAGAAAACTGGCATCATGGAATGCTATGCAGAGTGTGACTAGAGCCAGCCAGTGACAGTGCAGTGGCATGCGAGGAGAAAAGAAGGGCGTCAAGAGCATGCAGAAGACTCGGAGACAGGTCTAGCAGAGGCAAGAAGGCTCACCACAGGCTGGGCATGCACTTCAGGCTTTCTTTTACCTTGTCATAACAGGATTGTGAACACCATATAAATGATCTTTATGATAACCATTACTACCGTTTTCCAAACTGTAACAAAAATAAATACACCAGAAACACCAAGTTACCTCTAGGATGAAGTGTTTCCATTACGAATCACAAAGACGACGACGTAAAGGCTACAAAAAGGCGTGTCCCAGATCCTCAAGTCTGCAAATGAGGTTTGAGGGTGTGTGACATTTACATCTTCCCTCTTTCAAAACCACGGATGGGAACAGTGGCTGCATAGAGCAATGCTTCTAACATATGAAATGTTCATTCACTCAACCAGCAATTCATAAGCACCATCTATGCACTAACCCTCTTTCTCAGAGGCGTTACAACTCATCTTTACCCGGACGTATCTGTTATTCTTATGTTAGAAACCTCCCCCATCCCATCTGTGAAGATAGTTTTAAAAAAAGGCTTACTTTTTCATGGGTACAGTTTCAACACTATAAAATATAAAAAGGGAAGACAGGGTTATTTACTTGTTTTATCGCTATCAAGGCCACGATCTACCCCCACCCTCCAGTGTTTTCAGTTCACATTCCAGAGATGATGAGAGAAGACGCAAGTGGAAAGGGAGCATGCGTGTTCGGCAGACACAGAGCACAGGGCAGGCAGCAGAGCCAGAGAAAAGGAGTAACAACAGTTATCATAAAGTGAAATGCCATGTTCCCGAGACACACGAGCTGGAACAGAAGAACGCTGGTTAAGACAGCTGAGATTAAAGAAGAAAATGACAGAATCATAAGACTGGTTATAAACAAGCAATAAAGAAGAAGAAAACAGAATCATAAGATTGGTTATAAACAAACAAGAACAAGACCGCCACCACCACCACCAGCAACAACCGGTGGGAAGGGGACCGTCTAGTACTTAAGCAGAAGTTTGTCCTCGTGAGAACTGGCCTTTGGTGGCTCTCCGAGGACAGTGCCGCATAGAAATGCCTGGCTGGCTCTCAAGAAACCCAACACTCACTCATCATATACGTCCTCTGAATCCATCCTGCGGTAGTACTTGGCAAGCTTGACCGCGATGATTACAGCAGGGAGCAAGAACACAGTAGCTTTTCCTATGCCGAACCAGAACAGATTCTGGGGATTGAAACAACACCAATCAGGAGAATTAAATGCTTGGGGATAGAAAACAGGAAAGAACATCCATTAGGGGGAGAAGTCTTTCTTTTTGCAATTTTTAAAGAGTTTATAGCCACCATGGAGAGGGCAACATGTCATTGTAGCAGAGTCAATCTCTCTGAAGGACAAGTAGATGCTAGGATCATGTTTATTGTAAAAGAGGAACAGGAGCATCTGGTGGTGAAACTAAGACTGAGTCTGATACAGTCAGAAAGCACCCAATTGCACACCAGCTGGTGTATCTTTGTTAGACTGGCTGTCTAACTAAGGACAGCTGCCAGCCAACAGGCTCAAGTTCAAGTGCTTTCCATATAGTTTAGGGTAAATATGGCTAGTTGACTCTTCTCATCTTTTTCTGTATCTGAATAGTTAAGACATTGGCGCCTTCACCCTATGACAGTACAGCCAAGGGGACGTAAGCGGCATTCAGCACTTACCAGCGTTCCCCCCAAATGTACCATCTTTAACCCCTGCAGCAGACCGACCACAGACTAAATTTAACCATGTTTTCTCAAGAAGAAATGTTGACATTAAAAAATATATATATTGCCAATATTTGTAAATCAGATCTCAAACTTAGTCCTGGGTTGTGCCTCCTTGAAAATGGCATTGGGGGTGAGGGAGTTGGGGGAGGGGGGAGACTAGAGAAGGCCCAACGAAACTAAACATATATGAAAAAGCCACAAGAAAACTTAATATTCTGTCATTCAAATAAAAAAAAAAATTAAGAGTTTGAATGGAAGTAACCTGCATGGGTAGATAAAGCTACTCTCAAAACCTATGTTAGTAATGAAATTCCAGACCCAAGGCTGGGCTACCTTCCTGTGAGCTGGTCAGAGAGGCTCCTGAGACCGCCAAAAACGGTACAGACAATTGCCATTGCTGTTGGGTACAAACCAGACTCAATGGTCAACCTCTATCACTGCAGACACCACATAATCTGACATAGAGAAATCTGGCTGGAACTGGACTAGAACTAACTCTCATAGGCCAGAAGAGCCTGTGCAGGCTGCTGTGGGAGAATTGTCCTCAACAGCCTTACTCCGCTGTGGCTCCTGTGTGTAGAACTGTCTGCAGACCAGTGGAGATGTACCCACAGGTGTAATAGTGACAAGTCTGTGATGGGGTAAGCAACCTATTTTTTCTAGCTGGATCCAAAGCCTGCTCCACAAGAGATAATTCATATCTAGTACTGGAAACTTAGGCAAAACCTGTACCTGGGAGGTTGTACAGGTTTCCCTTATGAGGAAAGTACTGTCGTAGTTACACTAAATGGACATGATATGCTCATAAAATTACTTTCCAAATAATCACATTTATGCTCATTGGTTGGTGGCACTGTCAGTTTGGTCAGAGAGCTTTGTTTCTTTCTTTTGCTTTTTTGTTTTGTTTTGTTTGTTTGTTTGTTTTGGTTTTTTGAGACAGGGTTTCTCTGTATTGCTTTGGAGCCTGTCCTGGAACTTGCTCTGTAGACCAGACTGGTCTCTGCCTCCCGAATGCTGGGATTAAAGGTGTGCACTTCCAACGCCCAGCCAGAGAGCTTCTTTTTGCAGAGAACAATGGTAACTAAAGATGGTTATAATGGGTCAAAACGACAATATGACTTAAATGTCTGACCCTAAATGCTGCATCTATGTCACCCCCACCAAGGCTCATGAAATACCAGAGGAAGTGAATAAAGATTGGAAAATTTAATGGTGTTTGTTGGGTGCTATAGAACACTGCCTACCATGCATGACATGGCTGTGGCAGTCTTGAACAAAGGACAGCTGTGGTTCCCTGCACAAAGCTGGGCCCACCAACATCTTGTCATAGAGACAGTAGGGCTCATGAAGCCCAGGCCTCCCTAGGAATTTATATGCAATTAGTGGTTGATGGGGTAAGAAAAAAATTTCTTTGGTGTTATACCACTGCTAAGGGAACCCACACTCCTCTAAATAACCCTTCACCCATGTTCCCGTAAACAACCCTAATGAAAACCATTAGACCAAGAGGAACTGGTTAAGAAAAGGAAGGTAGCTGGGTGGTGGTGGCACTCGCCTTTGATCCCAGCACGCGGCAGGCAGACTTCAATGAGTTCGAGGACAGCCTGGTCTATGAAGTGAGTTCCAGGACAGGCTCCAAAGCTACACAGAGGAACCCTGTTTCAAAATCAGAAACCAAACCAAAATAAAGAAATAAACGATAAGGAAGGTGATCAGAGTAATGAGTGAGAGACAAAGGAAGGTAGTGGTGGCGCCTCCCTGGCCTCCACTCTTCAGAAAAGTAATAGTGCTGTCATAAAGCTGACCTGAACAAGGTTGGAAATGTAGACCGCTCCTAGTAACACAATGAGGGTGGGGAAGAGAACATGTTTACTTAAAATGTCTTCTCTTTTTGAACAATGAAGTTCTTACCAGAGGGTCAGTGCTGTATCTACACAGAACACCGTTAACAACAGAGTCCATCAGGTTGGTCAAGGGTTTGCAGGATGTCATCTTCTCTGTGATCTGTGGGATGGAAAACACAGGCAAGCATTCACTGAGCCAGCCTCACAGAGCTTCACTGGCTGGACTAAAGGGTAACTGACGGTGTGCAGTGTCCTGGAAACCACCGTGCTGAGAGCTGAAGAGCACTGAGGAGTTCTAAGCTAGTACAATTCCATACATTTATAGCGAGACGCTTAGTCCCCTTAGGCTGCAGTTCTCCTGCTTTGCTGTCTGGAGGATGAAGAACTGCTCGGGGGATGCGGGCATGTCCAGCCTAGTACTGATCTATTATCTGACAAAGGAGCAGGCATCGAATGAAGGAAGCCACATGGCAAAGGTAAGCCAAGAGGTGAGGAATTCGGGAGGGGTGCTCTCCCTCATGGGGAGGCTGCCCCCAATAGGTCCTGGTTCCCCTTATCCAAATCCTCTTGAAGCAGGCAAGTATAAAGACATCTTGGCAACACAGGACTCCACTTGGCTTGAGTTATACACTTAGCCTTTTCCTAACCACGCACTTAGCCATCTGAAACCCCCCCCCACTGCACCAAATTGAGCGGCATACACACCTCACTCACCCCAAACACCAATGTGTCCCTTGATCATAACAACCTATCTATAAACTCCCTGTGTCCATTCAAAATTGTCCCGGGACTTGAAGGAGTGGCGAAGAAATGTGACTCCAGCCCGGGCTGACTTGGGGTGTGTGCAGAATATAGCAAACTGTGTCCTCTGGTGAACATCTAGGGAAAAGCCCTACTTTTTATGCCTATGCATGCTTGGGCATGGATATGACTGAAGTCAGACACACCATGGGAAAGTACATGCGAAGCGAATGAAGACTTAAATAAGTCTTCAATTAAAACAAAACCTATCGCAGCTAACTCTGCCTTCTGGATTCCATACAAGGAAGCCTTAAGCAGCAATGGGCTCATCTTGAGCACCCCACCTCAGACATCCTGCTGCTTTCCTTGCCGCATCTGTTTTGTACTCTAACTGTACCTCTGAATAAAATCCTAGCTATTTTGCTGTTCGGTTCCTCATACAACCGAGAAGCTGGAGCATCAGGTCCAGGTAGACACTTTCCCTTATCTCCAACTAAAATCGCAGGATTTTAATAGCCTTCAGATTCTATACTAGAATGGGATTCTATACTAGGTGGGAGGTGGCGCCCTTTGTGTTCATAAAAGACAAAACTACTTACGGCGTACAGGACCCACTTCAGGTAATATTCAAAGTAGCCTGTTATTGTTCTCCCAAACTTCATCGTTTCCTAGAAAGGAATCAAAGATCGGGGCCATTATTAAAATAACTAGAACATACTTAATGGGTATAGCTACTTAATCCTGGGATGCTCGCTTACATGGCACTTTATCTACACACTTGCCTAAGAAGAGGAAACTTACTCCAATAACGATGGAAGAAATGTTACTGGCGAGGAAATTCTGAGCAGAATCCAAAGATGCAATGATCTTGCTCACTTTCTCCTGGAAAATACAATAATTGGAAGGGGAACCACGAACTTAATTAGATGATTTTCAAATCAGTTAGAGTCCCAGGGAGGCTGATTCTAGGATCCCTATTCCCCTTGCTCAAAATCTTCAGGCCATGGATGGCCCTCTGTAAAATGGAGTGGTAGTGTCATATAACCCATGCAATCTGCTTGGATACATTGATATCTAGTACAATGTACCTGCTATGTCAGTAGCTGACATACAACACTGTGAGTGTTAATAATAACAAAACTGAGGGTCTGTGCATGTTTGTTATAGTCATTAAAAATAAAAAAACACCTCCTTTTCTCCCTTTCTTTTCTTTTTTTGGTAGTGAGGATGGAGCCCATGGCCTGTGTTTTCTAGATAAGCATTCTACCACGGAGGTAAATCCCAAGACCTTCTATTTAATATGTAACTGTTTTAACCCATCCAGAGACACAGAACTGTCTGGTGACCAGGGCCTATAACATCGAGACTTGGCTTAGTCCTCTGAGGATAGGAGGAAGAGATGAGCTCAGAGTGAGGACACACTTCGGTGCTATATACCCAATGAGTTCTTGATGGGAATCATTGGCTGCTTGAGAATTCTAATGGCTTGAAGGAGGACACTGCTGGGCTCCCTTCAGAGGAGACAACTGACTTCCTTCGAGGTGGCCCAGCTAGCTAGTTTTTTTTGTTTTGTTTTGTTTTTTCCGTCTTCTAAAAATCTCTAATACTGAAACTTGTTGCACCAAGACTCAGTCACTGAAAACCCAAATGACAGCTTGTTACAAAGAAAGGGTTCCTTTTGCACAGAGGTCTGGGTGGGGGTGGGGGTGGCGGGGACACAGCTGGGCAGGTGCATCAGAACAGAGTTCTGTCTACCTCTCATATCCTATGCTGGACCCTAATGGGTGCAATATGGGGCTGCAGGTCCCATCCTAGATGTGCAGAGGGTTCCAGAAAAGATGTTGAGCTCATCACTATGCCTCCAGATCCCCTTAGCATGGAACACACAGGTATGACACTGCGCTGGTATCAGAGACACAGGCATGGCCCTGGAGCAGAGCAGACCTATTGGTCTTCACAGGGACTGTGTCACAATATTTGGCTCACTGAAAAAAAGTAAAACTCCCCCCTTTTTTTAAACTGTGGGGTTCACACCCCAGAGCTCTTATGAGCAGTCTTTCCAGTTCAGCAAGGATACTTCTTTCTGATGAATCTGCTGCAGTTCTGTGTACAAGATGAACACAGCGCAGCCTCAGGACTTAGCTGCTTCCCCAGGGAATGTCTCGTGGTGGCGTGATGAACCTTTCACGGTGACTGCTGCCTTTCCTGGCACAGCTTGCCAATTGTAGTAGGATGATACATGGTCAGCCCTTTAGTCTAGGAGTTTTTAATCTGGGATTCAATTAGCCTGGTTTTTTGTTTGTTTGTTGTTTGTTTTTTGTAGGGTTTCTCTGTGTAGCCTTGGCTGTCCTGGAACTTGCTCTGTAAACCAGACTGGCCTTGAACTCTGAGATCTGCCTCCCTCTGCCTCTGGAGTATTGTGATTAAAGGCATGTGCCACCATCACCTGGCTCATTTAACCTTTTGTGGCAGGGATGGGAGAGGTTTACCAAAGGTGTAAAGATTTTTCTGATCACTTCCCCCTAAATAATACAGGATAGCAGCCAGTTGCATTATGCTTCTACTGCGTTAAGTGTTGTAAGTAATCTAGAGGTGGTTTCAGTACACCAGAATCTATGTTAACCACACATATTGTGCAAATGATGTAAGGGACTTGAGTATCCATGACACCCATGCCACAGACACTCTGAGGAAGAACTTCTCTACCTCATGATGACGACAATGGTTATGGCCAAGTGGTTAGTTTCAACTGGTGGAATCTAAGACAAGTGATGGAATTCTGAGCACTGGCTTTAAGGCAATTCATGCTCTTGCTCATGCCCTAAGCTTCTGTAATTCTGTTGTTGTTTGATAACTGAGATGATCCCCCACAAAGCCACAAACAGTAAATCTGTCTGGGGTGTCACCTTATGGTGGACTGAAAGAGAAGGGCCTCCGTAGGTTCATGTATTTGAAAACTTAGTCTCTAGCTGATGGGCCAGTTTGGGAAGGATTAGGAGGTGGGGACTTGTTGGAGGAAGTGTGTCACTGGCGGTAGGAGTTTTAAAAAGCCCATGCCATTGCCCAGTTAGTGCTCTCTGTCTGTGTCCTTCTTCCCTCCTTCCTTCTTTTCCTCCCTCCCTCCCTCCCTTCCTCCTTCCCTCCCTCCCTCCCTCCATCCATCTGTCCATCCTTGCCTCTCCCTCTGCATGCTCATGGATCAGATGTAAACTCTCAACCATTGCTCCCCACCAGCTCAGACAAGAGTCTGCTCTTCCAGGCTGAGTCTTTTAGAGGGTGGGTGAGTAGAAAAGCCTGTGGCCCGCCCAGCAGTGATGGTGAGCATGTGTGGTCCAAAGCACACTCTTTACAAAAGTGTCCATGCTGAAGCTCGCCTCCTGTACAGCAAGACCCAGACTTGAGACTTGCATCAAGAGAATCACTCAGGAGAAGGGCAGCCATGGGAAAACCAAGTCTGGTACTCGAAAATGCTCCCAACACCTTCTGATAACTTAAACTTCTTATGAAAACCAATACCTCTGAAATTGTAGGTGTGATGTTTGATGATAAAACCTCATGAAAGAAAACCAAAACCCTTACCGGCAACTTCTCACTCGTGTGTTCAAGTGTCCAGACACTTTGTTTTAAAGTGTTCTGGTGGAGAAAAGAAAAAAAAAATTTCAAAATTTGTATCCAAAGCATCAAGAACACAGACCTTATCTCAGCCCCTCTCCCAACACAAACATCAAACCCAACACAAACATCAAATGTGAACACTGGCCGCATTCTAGAAAGTACAACAGCCATGAGCGACGACATGGATTTTATATACCATTGGTAGATAAGAAAACCCGTAGAAGGAAAACAGGGTCACATCCAAAGGCTTTAAGGGCAAGGCATCACACACATAGCATACAAGAACACCTTCAAAATAGGTATAGTCAGTGGGAAAAGCATTATTAAAGCAGAGTCTGCCTATCACATGTGGTTTACTTGAATGGTTTGGGTTAAAAGGTCAAACTTCATTTGTAATAGGCCACAATAGTTCTAGTTTTAGGGGCAATATTCTATTCTTATTCTTATTCTGCTTGTTTGTTTATTGAGACCCAGTTTCTCTATATAGTCCTGGATGTCCTGGAACTCTCTCTGTATACTAGGCTGGCGTTGAACTCAGAGATTCACCTGCCTCTGCCTCCAGAGTGCTGGGATTAAAGGTGTGTGCCACTACCTCCTGGCACCATATTCCATTCTTATGTCCAAGAGTGGCCATATTTACCACAGCTACAATGGCTGTGTCAAATGTATTTTTTTTTTTAAACTGGCAACAGGCTGGATTGGGTCAGGCTATGGCTGATAAGGGTCAGTTTGCCAACCCCTGGTTTATATGATAGATCTGTGGCCAGGCTGTTCTAGCTCAGAAGAGACCAGGCTGTCCTGTCAACTTGTAGAAAAGCACAGAAGGAAAATGCAAACAACAGCAATGAGTGTGCTTTCTACATTTCTACATTTCTACATTTCTGGGCTGTGCATAAAGACAGGGACTTGTAAGAAGCCAGAATAAAACGTATATGAGTCCAATGGGAGAACCCTGTGCAACTCTAGCAAACTAGAAAATAAGGAGAAGACAGAGAGACAACCAGAGTGAAAACTACATCCAAAGGTTTCTGTGTTGGAGAGGATGGACTTCTGTATACTTGCAAACTGAGTCGCTGACATAGAGGCCCACTTTCCACACAGTTCTCCCTTTCACATCCACAAACAGACTCAGGAACAAGCACAACATTGTTCCCTCTGATTTCTGAGTACCCATGTTCAGCAGTCGTCCATTTCCATGGACCAAGTGATAGCCACCCCTAATATCCCATCATCCTCTCTGCTTCTATTACTTGAAACTTTATTGTTTGAGGAGGGCACTGGGAAGTCACTATGTTTTAGAAAGACAAAGAGGGATTTGAAACCAGATCTGTGTGATTCCAAACTACAAACTACCTCTGTTACATTAGAAGTTAGGGAACAGAAAGTTGGGGGTAGAATAGAGAAGAGAGTAACAGCCATGGAGGGAGCCGACCGAGGTAAAGGAAATAGAAGTACTCACCCTCACCTTTACGTATTTCTAAGCACAGTGTGGAGAAAAAGAATTAGAGAACATGTCAGCATGAGCCCAGAGCACAGTCACACTGCCCGGGAGGCCCACCAGCAGGAGTGCAAGCTGGAGACAGGTGTGGGGGCACACCTCAGGGCTCACACTCTCATGGAAGGAACGGAGGGACGCACAGGGAAGAAAGGCCTGACTTAAGGCTGTGGTTTTTTTAAAGCCCGGCTCCATATCTGAAGCTGAGGCTGAGTGGTTGGGCCCTCCATCAGATAAGTGTGTGTCTTCAGGCAATCTCCACGTTAACTAAATAACTAGGTGGCTATATTTCGTTCAGGCTACCATGAAATGCCACAGGTTGTTGATTGTTACCAGTGATTGCTGCAAAGGAAGGACTTGTTGATGGTGAATGGTTCTAATATTCTGTGCATCTGTTTTCAAGGCCTGTTTCAACTTTCCATCAGGCTACAAGGAAAAGAAGACAAAAGGTTCAACACCACCCTTCTGGACCACTTAACATACTCTTTAACCATAAAAGACACCAGAAGACACCACAGGACCACAGGTTCCCCACTTAGACAATTATGACACCGGTAGGAATCGGGCTGGCATTGGACACAGCATCTAGACCTACTGCTTCAAACTCCAGAGTCATGGACTCATCAACCCTCACACTCAAAAGCACTGCCTAAACACCAGAGGCCATGGTTTCCTTTTCCCTGCCTCCAAATGAGACAGCTAGTCAATTTTCCTGTTTTACAGTTGAGAAAACCAAAGCTCAATTGAAGACTGTTCAAGTTAATTCACACTTAAATGATGGTCAGTACATGGACAATAACAACCCTCTAAGGCATATAATTACTGCCTCCGTTTTGACAGATGGGGAAACTAAGGCACAGGGTGAGTGAAATACCCTGCTTAGGCTACTAGCATTAGGAAGTGACTGAGTCAGGACTTAATCCTGGGTCTTCCTCTGCAGCCCAGCTCCCTTATCACCACAGTCTGCTATTTCTTAGAGGAGAGCAGTCCTGCTACTCAGGAGATCTGATGGTGGGCAAATCTATGAGCTATGATGGCTCCTCTGCTCAGTCTAATCCGCCTACTGTTGGTGATGAAAGGCACAACTCAGTCAATACTCCAGACTGCGAGAAAAGCGTGTGTGTACAAATGTATGTGTGCATGTCCATATGTATGAGTATGTACATGTGTCTGTATCCGTGTAGATGTATGTGCATATGTCTGCATTGCATGTGTATGTCGTCTACATGCTGAGTATGCATTTGTGTATGCCTGTGTGTCCCCATGTGTGTATCTCTCTCTCTCTCTCTCGTGTATGAGTGTACATACATCTGTGCATATGTATGTGTGTATGCATGCATGCACGTGTGCATGGTGTGTGTACACGTGTACTTGAAGTGGTGGTGTTGATGTGTGAAAACCCATGCAGAGGTAAAGCTGTTTAGCCTTCTGAACCACAAAGGGACAGCTAGCTGCCAATGGGGCCTCTGATGCATTAGCGAAGTGCTGTGAGACGAGGTCAAGCCATGGTGACAGGGACCTCTTTGTGGCTTCCTAGACGATGATACCGACATTTGCCTTTTCAGCTATGAACAAGACTACTGAACTCACCAACTGGTCTGCCTTTGCTTCCAGAGAAGAGGCAAATGCCAGCAGGTCCACTTTGGTAGGAGATTTCTCAGCCTACCATGGAGGAAATGAAAGAGGCATGTTACAGGCATGCACTTTTGCAACAAGAACACCATCGAAAAGCAGCATGTTGAATATCGGGCCACAGCCGTCAAGCAACCAAATAAGGCTAGAAACTCCTACATAGGTCACAACATTTGCATTTCTATTTATATGTATTATGTTTACTCACCCATAAAAAAATGCTACTAATACACACTGTAACATTCATGCTCAATGGAAGACTCTAGGAATGGGAGCCACAAAGTGTATGTTGCTACTTATATGGATTATAGAATAGGGTGTAGATGGGTGGCTGCCAGGAATTTGGGTCTGGGTAACAACTGCTTATGGGTAGAGTGTTTCCTGGGGGTGATGAAAACATGCTGTGCCTGGAGGTGCTAACTATAAATATACTAAATGCCACTAAATTGCTGACCTTTAAGACACTGACCTTTATGCTATGGGAATCCACTGTTGTGATATACAAAATACATGCGTATAATACTCTAATTTCTCCCCAAAGACCATACATGCGTCTCTTGCTCATACCTCCTTCAAGTACATGGAATAATTGATTGCATCTATCCCAGAGTGTGCAAAGTCTTCCAAGTTTTTTCTTCCTGTTTTGTCCAACAGTTCAATGTTATCAATATTCACATTCAGGTTTTCCAACTCCTTCATTATTTTTTCAGTTTGCTGTGTGAAACAAAAGCATCCTTTTATCTTCCAAGAAGGCCACACACCTGGTGTCTTTAAGAGGAATGAGACCACACTGGATCGAAAGAGATGCATATATTTTGGGTTGAATTACTTCCCTCTCTGCCTCCAAAAGTATTCTCTCTGGAGGTGTAATTTAAAGCCAAGTAAGAGTGCATCTCCAACCTTGAAGACCTTGGAGGAAAGAGGCTGAATTATAAGAGAGGGACACATGAAGTCCATTGGAAGACGGACAGAGAGGACTCAGTGGAAGTGGATTGTGGAGAAGAAATGACGTCTAAGCATTTACTCTTGACAAATGAAGCTAAGGACAGAGTAGGCTGGCATTCCAGGGAGGGGACCAGCAAGCACCTGAGTAACAGGAAAGGCATGGGAGATACCTTCTGGGAGACAATAATCCTGGGAATGTCGTTGCTGATATTGGGTTGTCCTAATAGCCAATCATTAGTTTCCATCAGTACACAATGCCTGGCTACCATTCCAAACTGTTACATAACGTGGTGCAGGGAAACTAGCCCATCGTATGATGGATGAAGGAGTATGAGAAATCTGCTTAGGACTTGGTCACAAGATGATGCTTTGTTTATGGGAATATTTAGGGGACATGCTAGATACAAAATTCATGTAAACCTTTCAAACAAAAGGTCTTCACATTGGAAAGCTGTAGAGCCATCATGGTTCCCTTGATTCCTCTAATGACCTCCCATGATGACAAAGTGAGCAGGATGTGGGCCAGGACCTTCTCCCTTGGTCTTGTTTGAGATATGTCTACTCATCACGGAAGCCAAGAAGACCAAAAAAGGCCTCCTCGCAGGGAGATTGAGGATATACAAGCCTGTCACTCTCTAAACCTGGAACAGAAACTATTGCTCTTTCTTCTGTTCGATGTGCCCTCAGATGGCATTTCCTTGGCATCGTAAGACATGACAAGGATATGGGCTGGATCTCAGCTAAGATGGTCATTCTTCTACTTTTGATTCTATCCTTTCTGCTTCTTGCCACATAACTCATTCGGTTCTGGGGTGGCAGTGCTTAAGTTGTAAGGAATGAGGACAGGACTACCATAGTTCTCTATGCCTGATTCCCAAGCCGGGGTCCTAAGATAATAGGTAAATTAGTCTTGATGGACTAACATCCCTTGGAAGTGAGTAGGCTTGTTCTTGTAGAACATGTTCACTAGATGAAATTAACAGTTTCCCTGAGAAGTTTCTTATGGGAGACCTCTTTGGAGGGTCTTGCATAGTCTATTGGAAAAACTCAAAGTGTGAAGAAGAGAAAGACAATTAGTTGGGGGTGAGAAGGTGTTTTGAGATTAATAGATAAAAGTGAGGACTGCAAACAGCTTTCAGAATGAGTAGATCCTAAGCAGGACCAAGGGAGAAGGTCTTAGCCCACATCTTGCTCATTTGGTATCAAGGAAGGCCATTAGAGGAACTAAGGGGGGCGTGATGGCTTTCCATTGTGAAGCGCTTTTATTAGACAGGTTTATAAGAGTTTTGTACCCATTGAAATCTACTCAATGTCACATTAAAATGGTGCATTTTACCTTTTGTGGACTTCATATCAACCTTAACCAAAAGGAACAAATGTACTCATGTCTAGTAGTGAAACAAGGTCACGTTTATGACTGGTTCTAACAACTCACCTCCTCAATGTTTAAATTCTCGCTGATGTTGAAAACATTATCAAGATGAAAGGTAGCATAAATACCCAGACCTCCTTTGCAATCCCTATCAGAAGCAACAGAGAAAACACAACCAGATCAGGACACGGAAATCTCTGACTTTCATTAAGGAATAGGAGAGAAAGGCAAGTTACAGTTACCTGTCAGGCTAATAAGAGACTATCTTCCTGCAAAGTTACATGATGGATAGTAAGTACAGTGTCAGTTACCTCAGGATTAGAGGGAAGGGACTATCACATACTACTTAAGACTTACTTTAAAAGATGAACTGAAGGCAAAGAAAGTAATTTTTCTTTGAATGGTATTAAACAGCAGAGAGCCTCAGTCTGTCAGGACTGAGGTCAGGCCCTTTCTGTGTCTTGTCAGGTGACCCAGAATTTGAGGTACTAAGGAAAAACCTACGGAAGTCACCAGGTGCTTTTATGTGCGCACCCATGTGGCTGCTGAACATCAAAAGACATTTATTACGGAAGGTGGAAAAGAGCCAAATGGGACCATGAACGAGATCAGGTCTTCCTTCCATCCAAGAGTGAACATTGTAGCGAAGAAGATGCTTCCAGAGGAAGGATGCTGACAGCTTGAATGTTTTTTCCGCCAACTCACTACCAAGGAGAAGTCAAATTAAAGATTTTTTTGTTTTGTTTTTTGTTTTTTTAATGAGGGGTCTATTACACTCAAGAAAGGTCTACCATACCATCACTTTAGGACTTGAAGATTTAAGGTTGTAAAGGGGTTAGAGAAATCTGTGTATCATTTAGTATCCTACAGCTGTTAGTGGTGGAAGTCAGGATGTTTTATCAGTCTTCTTACATGTCAGGGGTTGAAAACGCATGCCAGTGAACAATCATAGCATACTGTTTCATCATGTTCTTAAGAGCCTGTCTAGCACTACTCCAAACGCGTGCGCACCTCACGGGCTCTAACAACTTCAAGGGGAGACTCCTATTGTTGTGTTCCTTACTAAATGGAGGGAAATTAAATTGTCTGGGGCCACAGGAACAAGACTGGGTCCCAGGTGATCTGACTGCACAGTGCACACACAGGCTGTCTCACTATTGTGGTGTCCCTGATATGTACCGCTCTCTGACTTCTTAAAGGATTTTGCTAACACACCTTATTGTTACTAGAGGACTGATAAGTCACCGAGATGAGGTCACAAACACTTGAAAACGTGACATTTGGGAGAGGTGTCTTTTTCCATGAAACTTGCTGATACTAGAAAATAGTGTGGCACTGAAATTAACTGCAACTCCCTCCTTACCATTAAGTTAAAAACAAAACAAACAAACAAACAAAAACACTTAAAGTGAAATCCTCATTCTTAACAACAACACAATTTTCAGGGGGAAAATGTCCACTACAAGGATTAATACCTGTAAACTTGTTCAAATGTCAGGTTAATGCTTGAGTTCTTCAATATCAAGCCAGAGAGGAAGAATTGCCATTGTTCTTTTAGCAAGTAGGGAGTGTCCAAAACCTGGGACAAACACAAACATCGTTTTAAAGACAATTGTACACTAACTCATACAATAAAAAAGTATTATTCATCTCAAACCCCAAGTCAGAAAACAATAGCACAATTCAAATAAATGAGTTGACCACTGAATAGCATCAATCAGAACAACTGGAATTGTATTTTTAGAGCAACTTGAACATATTAAACATATTAGAATAAGAAGGACTAGACTATTTGGCTTAGAGGAATTAAGAGATAGTCATAAAGCAATAGGCTCAGTCTCTTAGGACAAAGTAAACTAAAACTCATTTTCCAGTCAGGTGCAATGGCACATGAACTTAACCCCTTATTCTCGGGGCAAATACAGGGAGATCTCTGTGAGTTCCATGGCAGCCAGGGCTACCCCCTGAGACCCTGTCTTAAGAACAAAAGAAAGAATATAAACCCTCACTTCCAACTCTCCCACATAGATTAAAGGGAAGTATAGCTGTGTGTGGGCATGTGCTGTCCACACACAGGCACAGCACCCTCCTTCTAAAGCACTTGGGGCCAACACTGTTGCAGATTTAGAATTTTTTTCTGATTTTAAAATATTCACACACATAAAGAGGCACCTAAGGGATGGGACCCAAGACCAAACATGAAGTTCACCTATGCTTAGTTATTTTCTTACACACAAAATTTGAAGGAAATGTTCTACCACTGTTTTCTTAGGAAACTAAATAGAGATGATGAGGCCCATGGATGCTCTCAATTTAGTATCCTTTGACTAATAATATCTGAAGCTAGAACTGGTTACCTGTGCAGTCATTCACCTGTTTTTATAACTGGTGCCAGGTGGAAGACATACAATAAAAGAGGGAAGTAGAAACGTCAGGCTCTGTGGCTGCAGAAATGGGCTCTGTGGGTAAAGTGTTTGTTGTGCAAGCATGAGGACCCGAGTTCAGATCCTTGCACCCATGTAAAGGATGAATGTAGGTGTGTAACATAAAGCTAGAGGGCAGAGAAGGTCAGATCCTCCAGGCTCACTAGCCACCCGGTATAGCTAACTAATGAGCTCCAGATGTGGTGAGAGACCCTGCCTCAAAAAGTGGAAAAGAAAAAGACATCTGACATTGACCTCTGGCCTCCATACATGCATACACAATACTACACACACATACACACACACACACACATACACACACACACACCAAATCAAAATCTACAGAAAAATACTAGGAAGCCACCTAGAATCCAGGCATGTGAGCCAACTCTATATTAATGAAGAAAGTGAGTCCTGGAGTCTTTGTGAGTTGGCTTTGGGGAAAGCAAACCTGAAATCCAATTCTTAACTTTGCCTCCTCAATATTTGCCAGGTTAAGCCTACTACCTTCTCTCTCTCTCGCTCTCTTTCTCTCTCTCTCTCTCTCTCTCTCTCTCTCTCTCTCCCTCTCCCTCCCTCTCTCTCTCTCTCTCTCTCTCTCTCTCTCTCTCTCTCGTGTGTGTGTGTGTGTGTGTGTGTGTGTGTGTGTGTGTGTGTGTGTGTGTACTAGCTATTACAAGCAGAATTTGCTGAATGAGAGCAAAGTACCTTGAGTCTTTCACTTGATGCAACCCACAAGATGCAGTGAGGCCCAAGTGTCTGCCCAAGCCTCCCTCATAAGAAGAAAAACATATTTACCTCTAATAATTTCTTGTTTGCATAGGGCTCACAGAGCAACTTTTCCACATTTGCGCCAATGACAAAAGTAACAACCACAAGGATCATCAATATCCAGCAGAAAAGGAAGCTGAATCCAACCCCACTGGAAAAGACACAAACAGCATGAGTTGCTAGCTCTCACTAATTTCTCCTACTCATCATATGTAGACCTGAAATCTTCAGTGCTTTGTGGGTAAAAATGCATTGACCTTCCACAATGAAGAGAGGGAGAGGTTACCATTGGGCTCATGGCAAATGCTTACAGAAGCCTTACAATAATAGTGTTGGGTCTACCTGTGGTCTTGCATGGTTCAGAGCTTTGACCCTGGGATCAGCTGAAAATCAATTCTTCCTACAAGGATGTAGATGGCAGAGAAACACTAAGTAGGAAGTGTGTCTGTGGAGATCCATACTGCCGAGCAGACAGGCTCTAGAATCATTTAAGAGATAAGCCTTTAGGCATACCTGTGAGATAGTGTCCTAGTCTGCTTTCTATTGCTGTGATAAAAACATCACGGTTAAGGCAACTTACAGAATGTTTCATTTGGCTTACAGTTCCAGAGGGTTATGATTTGTTATGATGGAGAAGCATGGCATCAAGCAGCAGCCTAAAGGCTGGAGCAAAGGCTGAGGGCTTGCCTTTTGAACCATAAACAAGAAACAGAGAGAGTGCACCAGGTATGGTATGAAGCTTTCTAAACTGCAACACCCACCCCCGGTGACACACGTCCTCCAGCAAGGATACACCTCCTAAAACTACAAAACTGCTCTACCAGCTGGGGACCAGATATTCAAACACCTGGGCCTGTGGGGGATGCACTTAGACATGCATATGAGGGCTTATCTGGATTAGGATAACTGAGAAGAGACAATCTATCTTAAGTGTAGGTAGCATGATTCCATGGGCTGAGGTCCACAACTGATAGAAAGAGAAAACGAAGCAAGCACTAGCATTCTTGACTTCCTGCTTCCTGCCTAGGACATAGCGTGACCCTTCAGCTCCTGCTACCATGACTTTCCTTGCCACTATGTGTGTACTCTCAAAATGCCGAAATATACCCTTCCTCCCTTCAGGAGCTTATCAGGTGCCGTGTTGCAGCAGTGAATAAAGTAACTCACTCAGTACCACTGAGGTTCCAAAGGGACCAGTGTGGCTCTGTCTGCACACGGGTAGCAAATAATTCCATGGAGAGGCACAGTGCATGGGGGCTAGGAGATCCCAAGAGGAAGAGCCACAAGGGCCTAAAGCACAGGAGGAAAACTTCCAATTTCTCGCTACTGAAAGACACTTTTGGCATGACGTGAAGGATGAGTTAGACAGGTGTCAGCATGGTGAGACATCACCATGGAGGCCCTTGACAATGGCCTAATGTGACTATCGTGGATGGAGAGAAGTCAGTGCATAAGTGAAATATAACATGGAAAGCAATGCTGTATGAGAGGTAGAGGGAGGAAGGGACCCTAGAGAGGGAGGTGGCCGGGACACTGGTGATCTGTGCAAGAGGAGAAGATGAAATGGACCTTGGTCATGTTGCCGGTGAGACTCGGCAGTGTGACAATGTAGTGGCAATTAGCAGTTTAGAAATGGTCCTTTAACCCCGGGGATGGATTGAGGAGACAAACAGCCTGGGAGACTCCAATCTTCAAAGAATGGGCGGTAGAAGGGAAGCCAGTGATAAGAAGCAAGGCAGAGAGCCACAAGAGGGAACCATGAAGTCAGGGCTTTACCCTGGGAAGAGACAGTTGCGGGAGGGAGAGCTCAATCTTGCAAACACTGCTGTTACTGTTGACTTGAGAGAGCCCCTAGGATATGTACATACTAGCACTATTTTCAATAAGAAAACTTGAAGGCCACCTCATTTTCTTGGTGACAGTCACTGCCACTGCACCTGTATCCCAGTTTTAAAGTTCTGGTGCCTTCATTGTGCACCCTGCTCTTGCCTGCCAGGCTTTGTCTCAATATCCCAAAGATTCCCCAAATATGTGAACTTTTATATGGATGTCTTCAAAGCGGGGTCGCTCCCACCCGCCACCACAGGTTCCCCACTGTCAGGCACCTGATGCCTACTCTTGTCCCTAATTCAGCCTACTTGTCTGAATATCAAGGGTGCTGAGCTGACAAATCTGTCTTCAAATCAAGTTCCCGGAGTTTTAAGTTAGCAGTACTGCTGCCAGTCAATAAATGCTGTCTCCGCTTCCCCTGAGTGAGCGAACGAGTGAATGAACGATGATAGCGAAGGAATGGGTATTAAGCAACTTGGAAATGACTTTTCAGGACAGCTGGTTTAAAAAAGAGCCCACCATGTGTAAGCAACGTGAACTCAGCATGAAACCAAGGGGCTCCAGGCTCCATAAAACCACACCCAGCACCACCCTCTTCCTCACATTTCTACCTTCAAGTGGCAGAATGGAGCAAACACTCACGCCATGAGGAAGACGCCTCCGGTGTTGGACACACAGCCTCTTCTGGTTGGGGTGGCACGCTTGTCATAGCCAAACACACCACACAGCAAGCCCAGGAGAAAGAAGGTCACAATGAGAGTCAGCAGGAAGCAGGCAATCAAACCAACCAGCCACCTGGAGAGAGAAAGCACAGTGTTATCCTACTACTTTTGGCTGTGAGCCTAGGCTTTAATGGCAGGGCCATCTCTCCAGTCCCGTTATCATACATCAAACAGGCAATGTTTGACTGAGTTTGGGCTAAGGCTGGAGCAGTCTTGTTCATGGAGCAACAGAGGGCAAGACTTCCAGACAAGAGCCCCCTTCACCCTTGCTTCCTTTAAATTTTATTTTTAATTATTATTCTTTGTGTCTGTCACATCATGCCTCCCGAGTCCACCCACTTCTCTCCCCGCCCCAAACTAAAACAAAAATAAAATTTCAGGGAAAAAGAAGGGGAAAATCTGGTCATGGAAACTGCAGTGTGACACAGTGAGTCACGAAGTAAACCCCTCTACCCATACATTTTACACGCAGGCAGGGGTTCATCACAAAGAATCATTGGTCTGGTTTGAGGTCCCTGATCTCTGCTACACCATCACTGGGACCCTTTCTGGACATCCCATTGCTGCCCTGTGTCATGGAGATCCACAGGACTCACCTTCCCTCTCCCATGCTCCAGCAGCTCACAGATGGAGCAGATGTTGGAATGGGCCAGCACATAACTCTGATTCTAGGCTTGCGTGCTTACAGGCTTGGTGAACCTGCCAGCTCTCCCTGTCTTCACCACCAGGGTATGCTCTCTAGCATTGTCTTCACTAATTCACCCCTTACAGCAATGAGCAAAAGGCAGCTGCTTCTTAACCCAACAAGGCAATGCATTTTTCCTCTTGGCTTTGTAGCGCCTTCTCTAAATGGTACTGGTGGACACCCATAAGTGTCACATGGGTTCATAGCAGGCCTAAGCTTCCTCAGGGGCCTGATCAAAACTCAGCCAAGACGTTCAAGTCCTGTCAAGTTTCCTAGCGTTGGATGCTGTGGCTAGGGTCTGGGTAGATGACAGGAAAAACAGTAAACTCCTCTCCCTTTCTCAAAACTCTTTTGGGATTGCAAAAATATTCATGTTCCTTACCAAACCAGAAATACTCTGTGTAGCACATAGATGCATGAGACGTTTAGAGTTTTATGAGCATCCTAAATCAAATGTTACAGAACGCAAAGCTTAATTCTGGAATGGTCCTGGGAGACATTTTAGGATAATGGAGCCTCAATTATGTCTTTCTGGCATTCCTGGAATGCACACCAACTTTCCCTGCAGCTGAGAAGCACTCAAGGCCAAGAATGCTTCCCAACATTATAGACATTAAAAAACAGAAGTAACCGCTCCTCTTGGGACCTCCCAACAGAAACGGTCACTAAAGCTTCTCATGTAATTAAAAACAATTTTGGTAATTACACTAATAGCTACCAGCAGCCATTCGGTGGGATGTTTTTTCCAGGTATCAGGGAGACCAAATTAAATAAACCATGGAGCTGTTCAGAGAACTTTCAGAGTTAATGAATCAAATGATTGGCTGAAATATATATATTTTTTTTCTTCAGAAAACAAAAGCTTTATGGTCTCTGGACAGGGTTAGAAGGAAGAAAAGCAGGAAGGAAGAGAAGGAGAGAGGGAAAAATGGAGGAAAGAAGGAGAGAGGAAGGGAAGGAGGGAGGGAGGAGGGAGGGAAGGAGGAAAAGAGGGAGGGGAGGAGGGAGGGGAGGAGGAGGGAGGGGAGGGGAGGAGGGAGAGAAGGGGGAGGAGGGAGAGAGGGAGAGAAAGGGGAGGGGAGGAGGGAGAGAGGGAGGGGAGGGGAGGAGGAAGAGAGGGAGAGAAGGAGGGAGGGGAGGAGAGAAGGAGGGGGAGGAGGGAGAGAAGGAGAGAAGGAGGGAGGGGAGGAGGGAAAGAGAGAGGGGAGGAGGGAGGGAAGGAGGGAGAGGGGGGAGGAGGGAGAGAGGAAGGGAAGAAAGAGTAGCTGGAAGGAGAGGCAGATAAATGTACTGTGCTATCTCATTTGGGAAACTTGGTCTCTAAGGGACATTCTGTCTTTTGTCTGTGCCAGTGTCTGCTGGGGTGTCCTAGTCCCACAATGAAAATGTGACACGAGGCCCTGGATGATTATCCATTGTGCACCCAGACAGTGTGCCTTTTGTTTCGATTTTCTGAATCCCAAAGTCCTTGTCTACAAAACAGCCATGCACAGAACATAACTCAGCAGACAAGGGGAGCACTGTAGGGGAGCACTGTTGGAAGTGTCGGGCCTAAAATGCTTAGTGAGCTCATTGAACCACCTCCTCCTAAGGCTACAATCTTATCATTTGTCTTGTGCCATCGTGCAAAAGGTTAGCCAGGTGAGAGAGGGCCTCTACCCTCTCCAGGGGGCAAGTCCTAGGACTGCACCCTTCAGAGAAGAAAATAAACCTTATGTTTCCTGGATGCCTAAGTCCTCCTCTCTCCATGGAATGTCCATCATCACCCTCCAGGACCAAACACCATGGCCTGCATTATTTAAGCCCTGGGTACAGCAGCTCCCTGCCAACAGCCTCCTCCCCACAGCTGTGACACCAACCTAGTGGCTTCATAGCACAGCAAAAAACAAACAAACAAAATGTTCGTTCAAAAAAAAAAAAAAAAAATAACAGCCTCTTTATTTGCTTCACAAACCAATGAGAACACTTTTCACTTTCTAAGTTCCTTTCTTGATTATTTTTGAGCTTCCAAATCTCAAAATACTCTTGGCTTACTAACAATAGCAAAGATTCAAGAATCAATTAACATCAAGATCCTAAACTGTTGAACATTTGACTGAAGGGTTTCCAGTCTCGATCTTTGCTTTTAAATAAGGACTGTCTTATGAATGAATATGTATGTCAGCATTTCTTGGAAGCCACACTCACTATTCTGTGTGCTATCCTAGTATGTGTGCAGATGTAGATGGCACATGTATGAACCTGTTTTTGTAGGGCAGAGGTTGAAGTCAGTCATCTCCCTCAGTCACTCCCCACCTTAGTTTTTGAGCCATGGTGTCTCACTGAAGCCAGAACTCTTTACCGGCAAGGCTGGCTGGCCAGCAAGTTTAGGGCTCCATCAATCCTCTCTGCACCCCAGTACAAACCCCAGGGGATTGTAGATGCCCACTGCCCCTCTTTGCTGACTTTATTATTTATTTATTTTTAACATGAGTGCTGTGGATCCAAACTCAGGTCCTCATACTTGTACTGCAAGCGATTTACTGCAACACCATCTCCTCAACCCCCTTTGACTTTCATAAATGAACATAGCTGGGGGTTGTTCACATAGGCCTCAGCCTCCTTATCTCATTCGTTTTTATAGGGTTACCCTGGAATTATGTCATGCTTTATACCCTTCCAAAGCAAGCTTCATACCGCTTATTTTCCAGCTCCAAGGAGGCACTCACCAGTATGAGTCATATTCTTCCAGTTTGGGCAGCTCCTTGTGGAAGTAACTGTAGCTGTTATTAACGTGATGGGAGACCTCGAGCAGCACCTTCTCAATAGGAATACTTTGGCTTACATCCATAATGTTGGAGCTGATGGAATCCACAGCATTTTTGACGTCTGAAAACAAGGGGACCCCAGTTACTCACTTTTTAAAATGCAAGACAGAGACCTTGTTTGGGGAATGAAGAAAAAAGTCACTTAGGTTTTCCCCGTGTTCTGTGTAGGTTTCTAACAAAATAAGATTCTATGGCAAGCACTAGTAGAGCCGAGACCATCTACAAGCAATAGCCAAAAGAAGCAGTGAATATAAGCACAGACTTAGCAAGATGGTGCAGAAGTCACACCAGGCTCCCTTGTCTAGCGTCTTGCAAATAAATAAATAAGTTGGGCATCAGATGACTACACTACGAATGTGCCTAAGATGTGCCAAACACTCCTGTCAATATCAATCTGCTTCTTCACTGATGCAATATCTGCTTTATTTCCACTTTACTGTGGCCCAAAGTCTCATGTAAGTTAAGTTGTTCACCCATTGTTCTCTTTGGAAAAGTACTCTGTTTTTGCGGCTATTTGTTTTAAGGAAGTCTTATTATATGATTTGGGGAATAGTAAGAATAGAAATCTCCCTACTTAAGAAATGGCCTTAAAGAGACAGTCATGGCAGGGGTGTGTACCCAGTAATTCCACCATAGGGAAGGCAGAAGCCGGTGGGTTGCGGCCAATTTGAGGTCAGTCTAGTCCACATAGTGAGACCCTTGGTCAAAGAAATAGGGATTGGGAGTATGGGGAGAAGGAAGGAGAGGAAGGGACAAGAAAGGAAAAGAGGGAAGGGAAGGGAGAAAATAGACTAAAAATAGAAAGAAATGGTATTCATGGACTTAAGTCTCTGCTTCTTGGAAAAGTGATCTCAGTTGATGTTCACTAATCAATTACTTTACTCATCCAATTGGGAACTTATTGCAGAAGCCTATCTGTGTCTCCTACATCCAAGGACAACACAATTCCTGTTGTCCTTGTTCTGACCAGTTCCTGCTCAGATCCATAATGGCTTCCCAGAGACCAGTGTTCTACAATGTGTTAGTCTGTCCCAACAGACCCTGGATCACAGCTTCCTGTTCACACTGTGTCACCCACCCAGCGTTCCACAGGTCCAGAGGTGAGGTTCTGACCCAGATGTGCTGAGAACAAACACAAAAGTCCACTGATCCCCATGGGCAGAGACACTGCTAAGCAATGGTAAATGGGACTCTCTCAAAAATCGATCTCAGGGCTCCGCTGGACTCTGGGCAGTGGTAGAGGCTGGAGGCTTGGTTAAAAATGTGATTGCATATGAAAACGGTGAGAATTTTTCCTAAAGTGTTTCTCACGCAGATTTGAAATCTGGAAACAGAGAGCAGCTGAGCACCCCGTGTTTGGAGAACCCCGAGGTGCCTCTCTGCATACCCATATGGTTCCTATGCAAAAAACTTCCAAGGAACTGTGAGGTTCCATCAGCCACTTTGATGGAAGTGATCCCAGGAGCCAGTCTGCTTTGACCAGCTCCTTGGGAGCCTATCTTGCACTTTCCATCTCATGATGAGGCATAGCCTTGTCAGCTTTGGAGACTGACAGATGGCTAAAGCTCCTTCCAATCAAATGTGTTCCTCAAGCTTCAACAGGCAAGATGCCTTTTTTGAGGAAGGCTCCTCCTGCAACCTCCCTGCTGTGGCTACTTTGCATATACTCTGTTGCCAGACTGTGACCTGTGTAAAGGTCTGACTGAAGGGCAGTCAGTGGTCATACCTAATGCTTCTCACACACACACACACACACACACACACACACACCCAACACTCGGAAGAGCCAGGCACAAAGTAGGCATTAAAAAAAATTCAGGCTGGGACTCAAGGCCCAAAGTAGGGAAGCTAAGGACATAAAGATAAACTAACTTTTGTGGCCCTGGGATAATGCTAACTTGTGTCAAAGTTATGGCAGCAGAAACATTGGGATTTGCTCATGCAGGTAGCACACTTACAACAGAGGACTGCTTGTATGGACAGAAGAGGTCCAGAGGAGGAAAACAAAAAAATCAAACATGGAGATTAGTAAGCAGGCAGCTTATCAGACATCCAGCAAGCAGGGAGTGGCCTTCAGATATTACCCAAGGAAAGTAAGAGTTTGCCTTTAGTATGTTTTCATAAAGTTTTATTTGTTTTGCTTTATGTACATAGGTGTTCTGCCTGCATTATGTTTGCACCACATGCATGCAAAGAAGCCAGAAGAGAGAATCAGATACCCTGGAATTGGAATTACAGATGGTTGCCAGCTGCCACGTGAGTGCTGAGAACCAAACCCAGGTCCTCTGGAAGAGTAGTCAGTGCTCTTAACTACTGAGCTATCTCTCCAGGTTCAAACACGTTAACACAGGGTTTTTTGTTTGTTTAATGACTTAATTTTATCTTATGTGCATTGGTGTTGTGCCTGTGTGTATGTCTGTGGGCAGGTGTCAGATCCCCTGGAGCTGGAGTTACAGACAGTTGTGAGGTGCCAAGTGGGTACTGGGAACTGAGTCTGTGTCTTCTGGAAGAATAGCCAGTGCTCTTAACCACTGAGCCATCTCTCCAGCCCCATAACACATTTTTAAAAGCACTTGGTAAATAGGTAAAAGCAGCACTGGTAAGAAGATCTTTTTAAAAAAAAAAAATTAAATACTTTACTTATTTTTACATCTGAACTGCAGCACCCCCCCCTCCTCCTGCCACTCCCTCCCCCAAGCCACCTCTCTCCATATTTGTTCAGAAAGGTGGTAGGCCTCCATTGGACACCAGCAAGGCATGGTATATCAAGCTGTCGTAAGACCAAACACCTTCCCCTTGTATTCAAGCTGGGCAAAACAATCCAGCATGAGGGACAGGTTCCCAAGAGCCAGCCATAGCACCATGGACAGCTCCCATTCCCATTACCAGGAGTCGCACAAGTAGACCAAGCTACGTAACTGTGGCACATATGCAGAGGGCTTAGGTCGATCCCATGCAGACTCCCTGGTTGTTGGTTCAGACCCTGTGAGTTCCCATGAGCCAAGATAGCTGCTTCTGGCTCCTACACTTCCTCCTCCCTGAATTCTCTGAGATCAATCTGGCTGTGGGTCTCTGAATCTGCCTCCATCAGTCACAGGTTGAAGGCTCTCCAGTGACAATTGGGGTAGTCACCAATCTGGTTTCAGTTCAGGCTATGCATCCACTGCTGCTGTGGGTCTTAGCTGGAGCCATCCTTATAGACTCATGGAAGTTTTTAAAAGAATGTTTGTAAACAAATCTTTCTGGTACTTGTTTTTATTTTATGTACATTGGTGTTTTGCCATGGGTGTCCTGTCTCAAGGAACTGGAGTCACAGATGGTTGTACACTGCCATGTGGTTGCTGGGAATTGAACCCAGGTCCTCTGGAAGAGCAGTCAGTGCTCTTAACCACTCAGCCATCTCTCCAGCCCTTAGAAGAAGATCTTGAGAGGCTATACTTTTACACAGCTTCAGGCAAATAAGCCCAAGATCACTTCCCTTCTTGGCATAAAGAGTTGTTTACATTACACAGATCTGCACACTGACTTCCAAGCATCCTCACCTGAATTCAGCACAGAAGTTTCAAACCTCAGGATGCCCTCAGCATAGACTTGTGTCTCTAAAACTCTAAGCAGCTGTACAGCCTAAAAATCTATCACCTTAAGACCATGGACAGAAAGAAAATACTTCCCCAAAGACAAACTCTTCTGTAGAGAATTCCTAAAAATAAGTAAGAATCATTTTAAGTTCATTTAGAAAATATAAAAATCTGGGAGTGGGGCTTTCCTCCCCAGGAAGATAATGAGAACATTACCTTCCAAACTGCAGCTGTTGTATGTAGTGAGATATTCGATTTCTCCACACCTGTGGCACAGACCACACCCATGGGGGTGGATATGGGTGGACATTACCTGGGGGAACTAAGTCTGAGGAGGGGGCTCCGAGAGCTCTCTTGCTTGCAGCAGGGGACAGGAGAACACCTGGAGGCATCCTTGGGACCAGGAACCTGCTGGTGTTCATCTGTCTACACTGTAAGTTATTTCTCCATGAATAAACATCTATTCAGCCTATTTGTTTCTTCTGATCCTTATTAAACCTCAATAGTTGTAAGGCCTAGAAGATCCTAGCACTAAGAGTCATCACCCAGCAGATACCCTTGCCATATAGCAACAAACATTAAATATGAGGTTTGGTGGCTTTCCTTCCCTAATCTACACCACCACTGACTAAAGATAACATAATCAAAATGTCTACTTATTCCATAGGGTTTAGCAATAGACATTTCCTCCTCCCCCCCCCCCAGGACATGCTATTCCTTTGTATTCACCAATCATAGCATTAACCTAAGAGAAAAACAGAATGACCTTCAAGTAAGACTCTCACCTGCGATGACAGCCATGGTTTGGTTTCCTACCTTACCAGGTATTTCATCAATCGACGTATATCCCTGAAAATATTTCAAAATGAATTGAAGGTCAGTTGGCTTATCCTCCATTTATATCAAGTAGAGAAGTAAAATTAAAACGTACTATTTATCTTAAAATTGAAATGATCCTAACATAACCATCAAGGGTCTAAAAGCAAAACCCTTTAGAAAAATAAAGTGCTGTGGGTTTTGGTTTATTTGTTTGTTTGGTGTGTGTGTGTGAGTGTGTACTGGGGGCTGAAGTGAGGCCTTGCATGTGCTAGGCAAGTGCTTTGTCACTGAGCTGTGTGCCGAGGTTGACACCATGTTCTTTTAACTCAATAAATCAGAGATCATTGTAAAGGCTTTCACCCTAGAAGAAACTCCTTTGGATCATAGCTGAGAGACAAGTAGCATGAAATGTATAGAAAGAAAGGAAGGAAGGAAGGAAGGAAGGAAGGAAGGAAGGAAGGAAGGAAGGAAGATCATGCCACTGTTTGCACCAAGGAAACAAGAGCCACCTCATTGAGACAACGAAGATGTTGAACAAAGACATTCAAAGGGGTAAATGTATACATACAACAAAATTAGTAATTAGTTTAGTTCTTTTTTTTTTTTTCTTTTTTCTTTTTTTTTTTTTTTTAAGTAAAAGAGAACAGTATATAAAGGCTAAAAATACTAAATCACTAGATAAAGCAGAGGGAAAAGGAGTGCCAGGCTGAGGGCAGTGTGGGGAAAAGCATTGAACTAGGAAGGAAATACAACCAAACTGGTACAGCAGCTCCTAGGCAGAGTGGGGCAGTTCTCTGTATTGGGGATAAGGTGAGTGCTACCCTACACCTGCAACTAAGCCCAAGAAAGCATCATGGGTCAAGACAGTCATGGGATTTCGCTGTTTCCTATGTTTTTATGCATTAGACTGCCCTCGGTATGAAGTGAACTACCTTCCTTGTTCCAAGGAGCATACCTTTTTGACGAGGCTCTCCAAATCAGTTCTGTAGATGTCATTAACAGTGCTGAGTTCTCTATCCACAGATGGGAGCTGAAGATTTGTGAAACAAAGAGTAAGAAAAGGTAATTATCCCCAAGTTAACGGTCACAAAAAAAAGCCATCTGATATCCAGATCCCAGGGTGTTGACATCAAGGACCTGACTTCACTTTCTTTTGAAAACAAGATACAGTCTGGGGGAAATCACACTCTGTACAGAGTGACGTCTATGATCACTGATTTATTTTTATTGTTATTATTATTTTAAACAGTGTTTCTCTGTGTAACAGTCCCAGTTGTCCTAGAACTCACTCTGTAGACCAGGCTGGCCTCGAACTCACAGAGATCCACCTACCTCTGCCTCCTGGGTGTAGTGGGTGCTAGGATTAAAAGTGTGTGCCACCGTAGCCTGGTTTATGAGCACTGATTTTTAAAGTCTTCAGGTCTGCTGTAACCAGCTACTGAGGTACTGATAAAGTATGTGTGGCCACACGATTGCTACTGCTGAACACTGTTGAAAGAAGTTATAAACGAACTTGTAAAACTCACTTTTCAAAGTAAAAACTGGAGCTTAGGCTACAGTCTAAATGAGGTGAAATACATCTGCCTGGCTCTGGGTTAGATCTTCAACATTAAACTAAACTAAACTAACAAATGAATCAATAAATAATATTAAAATTAAATAATGCATTTGGTGGCTGCCTTGGCTAGAAGTCTGGAACCAGTTTTCCAAGTCCAGAATTATACATCAATTCCAAGTATGATAGCTCTTGGCACCTGGGGCCCATGCCCTGGTGCTCTCAACAGGACACATCAAGGACACAACACTACTTCTGAAATAGGCCATTGGTGAATGCGGAGGAATCAAGCCTCATCATGAGAGGTCACATATAAAGCTGACTGAAGGCTGCCCTACAAAACAAATGGAGTTCTCAAAAATGTCAGTGTCACAACAGAAAAAACTGGAAACAACCCCCAGATTGAAGGGGAAAGAAAGACACAATACTACTGGCAGCGTAAGATCCTGAGTTGCAAAGAAACAAGACATTTATTAATGGCATCTCCCATCATCTGTGTGTTAATTGGGGTGGCAGGACAAGACCAGGCGGCGTGAGGAAAAACCTACTCCTTACAGTTTGTAAGTGCACTTCCATTTAAAATTTGACAACATCTGAAGAGAGAGTGTAGAGTAGACGGCAACAGTGGTTTTGTGTCTCATGTCCTATCTTGCATATGACAAAGTTTAGAAACATTTTGAACTATTTAGGTATAAAAGGAACAGGCCCACAACTTATTCAAGAAAATAACTATACAATTTACATAAATATTTGAAGAAACAGGTGAAATGAGTAGGATGGAATGCTGAACTTTGGTGTCCTAGTTACGGTTAACTGTCAACTTGACACAACAAGACCACCCAAGTCATCTGAGAAGGAAACCTCAGCTGAGGGACTTGTCCAGATCACATTGACCTGGAGCAAATCTTGATTAGTAGCTGATGTTGGAGGGCCCAGTCCACTGTGGGGGTCACCATTCCCTATGCAGGTGGTCCTGGGCTGTATAAGGAAGCTAGGTCAATCCAAGCCTTTGAGAAAACCAGCAAGTAGTATTTTCTCTGCTTCAAATCCCTGCTTGAGTTCCTGTCCTGATTTCCCATAAGGACAGACAGTGACTTGGAAGTGTAAGTTCCTCCCCTAAGCTGCTTTTCGTCAAACTGTTGTATTACAACAGAACAAAGGAAACTGGAACACAGCATCCAAGGGTATAGGAGGAGTGACGTGTATTAACAACTTCCGCACATATGCAAAAAGCACATTAGAAAGCAACCGTGCCTGGTGTGGTGGTGTATGCCTGTATGTATGTACTCCCAGAACTAGGAAGGGGAACGTGGGAGGTTAAAGTTTGAGGTCTTCGTGGATCACTTAACAAGTTCCAGGCGGGTGTGAGACCATTGTGAGACACTGTCTTACAAAGGCAAACGCCAATAACAAAGTAAGCAAAGTATGTAATATCATCCTCTCAAATGTATTTTAAATAGCCGACATAGAACTGACCTCTAAAAATCCATTTGATGACTCCAAAAGTAATTCAGTACACATGCAGACAATTACAGTGCATGTGAAGGTTTTTTTTTTTTGAAAGAAAAGCTGACTCAAAATATGAAAGTGGGAAAAGTATGTTAAAATATTACTTTATATAGAATGTTAATGGTAAATATAACTAAATTAATACATTAAGTATAATTAACATCATAAATACGAATTTTTTGATTCTCAAATGAGGGGATAAATTTTGGAAAGTAATGGAATTGTCTATTCCAGCCTATATGGTTGGTATGCCCAGTTTGTTGTCGTTTTTAGTGGCTTGTTTTACTTTCGTGTATTGTATATGTATACAGAGGCATGTACACCTGGGAGTGCAGTGCACACAGAGGCCAGAAGAGGGTGCTGGCGCCCCTGGATCTGGAGTGAGTCACAGGCATCTGTGAGCCACGTGACATGAGTGTCCAGAACTGAGCTCAAGTTCTCTGCAAGAGCAGCCAGGGCTCTTACCTGCTGAGCCATCTAGCCGCCTCCCCACATCCCCGTGTGCCTAGTTTTTAAAAAACACTTAAAGAAGAGCACGTATTCTGTGCTTTTTGCAATCTGAACGTACCTTGATAAATCATCAAAGAGTACAGAACTTCTCAAACATCCCCCCCCCCCCTTTAACTTCTGTTGTATCCATTCCAGCGTAGAGATTAGATGTCCTGAAAAGACTCACAGAGCAATGGAGGCTACTGTTTTCCAGCCCAGGCCACTGTGCATCAGGCAGGTGCACCCGGTCTCACTCAGTCCCCTACTCACACCCGCTCACCTGAGTTGTGTCATGGTTGCTCCCCAGATTGCTTAGCCCTGGCCTGATGCTGTCACAGATCTTTCTGGCTGGGTCTGAAGTGCAGTCGCTGCTGTTGAGGGAACCCTCGATGCTGTTTCTCACGGTGGTCAGGCTGGCGCTGAGCTGTGTGGTTTCGTCGTCTATGCTCTTAAGGCTGTTGTTCATGCTCTGCAGAGCATCCCTGGTCTGTTTGATGGCTGTAGGAACATAGCCAGAATCAGAGCCGGCCACACGAGTGCCTCAAAAACAACTGGAGATGAGCTCAGACAGCTGCAAAGGGCAATGGGACAGGACACACATAAGAAATAAGAGTTTCTTGCCTGCCCCTTCACCCAGCTCAGCTCCCCGCAGTTCCTTTATTAAGCAGTTGAACATAAACCCCAGAATTTCATGGGGACACCTTGAGTACCACTATCTGGTCAACAAAGCAGTTTAATCCATATAAGAATCAATTATATCCTCATAAGGGATATGGCTATTAAGAGAACTAGCATTTGCCAGTCAGAAACAGACAGGTGGTGAGGGGAGGGTATTGGGAGAGGGCAACAAGTGGGAACAAAGCTTAATGACACGAACTTAGGAAAAAGCCATGACGAAGGTTGGCAAGCTGGCTCATGGAGTGAAGGTGCTTGTTCCAAAGACTGACAACATGACGAAGGAGAGAACCAATTCTCTCTAGCTGTCCTCTGGTGTAATATCTACCCACACACACAATAAATATACACACACAATAAATGAACAAAGAAAAGAAAAACGGGTGTAGGAAAACCTATTATCTTTTACACCAGCTTTAATTTTTTTCCCAACAAATTTTTTTATTGCTTTCTTGGGAATTTCACACAATGCACCCTGATTACACTCACTTCCCATTCCTCACAGGCCCACCCTACCTTTCTTGTGCCCCCAAGTCCAATTTTGTTGCCCATATACTCATCTGAGCATGGTAAAATTCCTAGTGGCCAGCCCCTCAGGGATATGTGAGTCCTTCCCCACTCCCACCCCTACGCCCATGGCCTCAGAAGCCATCAACTTCAGCATCTTTATCACAATTGTTAAAAACTCTTCAATGGCTTCCTGTCGTAACTGTTTCTTCTCTCTCTCTCTCTCTCTCTCTCTCTCTCTCTCTCTCTCTCTCTCTCTCTCGGAATGAGGGTTATCACAGAAGCCTTCAATGTCTCTTATTCTTTTTTGTGGTTGTTTTTCAAGACAGGGTTTCTCTGTGTAGCTCTGTAGACCAGGCTGGCCTTAACTCACAGAGACCTGCCCTCTGCCTCCTGAGTGCTGGGATTAAATGTGTGCACCACCACTGGCCAGCATTCTCTCTTATTCTTAATTATGAGTCTGTAATTATCAATGTCACTGCAAAAGAAGCTTCCTTGCCCTTAGCAGCCAGTGGCAGCAGGGATCATGGACTTACTTGCACATGGTTCTAAACAGCAGTACAGACCATGAACATCAAGATGGCCTCCAGCAGCAGCACAGACCACACACGCACCCACTCGGCCTCTGGTGGCAACATGGTCGGAGGCAGGCCGACCATGGAGGTCTTTGGGGGAGACTCAATCCGTAAAATGAACAGTTCATCTCAGATATCTTTTTGCACAGAGCCAGGGTGTTTGTGCAGCTGGGCAGCACTTGGGTGAGCTGCAGGATGCTACACAGTACCCTTCCTGCCCTCCACAGCTACATGGTCCTTTGTCCACTGTGGCCATGCTCCCATACCCATCCCTGCTGCTGCTGCTGATGATGATGATGCATCTCTAGTTTCCCTTCTTTTTGCCTCGCTCCTCTCTGCAATCTTTATCTCCATCTTCACGGCACCATTTTTAAAAAGTGTCTTCCCATAAGACCTGCCTTTTATTAGTTGTTTCAGAGATACTTCATAATCTGGAGACTCATTCTCCTTCTCATCTCCCCTAGAAACCTTTGAGGGTCTCTCAGACACCTTGGAGTAGCTCCGAGGGTATCAGTAACTGCTGCCATTTTGAGGTCAGAATCTAAATGAATCTTAGCCTTAAAACTTTTAATTAATTTGGGTGAGACCTATCCAGAAAACTGGCCATTTCCTTTCAATTTTCCAATTTTGTGGAGTACTGATTATCAAAGTAAGACCTGATGATTCTCTGGATTTCCTCAGTGTCCTTTGTTATGTCCCCCTTTTCATTTCTCGTTTGGTTAATTTTCATGTTCTCTGCCTTTTGGTTAGTTTGGATAAGGGTTTGCCTATCTTATTGATTTTCTTGAAGAAGAACCAACTCTTTGTTTCATTGATTCTTTGTATTGTTTTCCTAGTTTTTACCTTATTTATTTCAGCCCTCAATTTGATTATTTCCTGGTGTCTGCTCCTCCGGGGTGAGTTTGTTTCTTTTAGTTCTAGAGCTTTCAGTTGGCTGTTAATTCAATTCTCTAGTGTGACTATTCTCCAGTTTCTTCATGAGGGCACTTAGTGCTATGAAATTTCCTCTTAGCACTGCTTTCAGAGTGTCCCATAAGTTTGGGTATGTTGTGTCTTCATTCTCATTGAATTCTAGGAAGTCTTTAATTTCTTTCTTTATTTCTTCTTTGACTCAAGAGTGATGCAATTAAATATTGTTCTATTTCCATGAGTTTGTAGGCTTTCTGAAGTTTGTGTTGTTGTTGTTGAATTCTAACTTTAAACCATGGTGATCCAATAAAATACAGGAGGCTATTCCATTTTTTTCTTTTTCTTTTTTTAAATCTGTTGAGGTTTGTTTTGTTGCCGTATATGTGGTCAGTTTTAGAGAAGGTTCCACGTGGTGCTGAGAAGAAAGTATATTCTTTTGTGTTTGGATGGAATGTTCTATAGTTGTCTGTCAAACCCAATTGAGTCATAACTTCTGTTAGTTCCTTTATTTCTTTATTAAGTTTCTGTCTGGTAGTCCTGCTAGTGGTGAGGGTAAGATGTTAAAGTCTCCCACTAAAAGTGTGGGGGTTTTATGTGTGATTTGAGTTTTAGTAATGTTTCTTAAATGAATGTGGGCGCCTTTGTATTTTGGGTACAGATGTCCAGAAGTGATACTTCATCTTGATGGATTTTTCCTGTGACAAATATGAAATCATCATGATCTTTTGATTAATTTTAATTTGAAGTACAGTTTGTTAGATACTAGGATAGTTGCACCAGCTTGTTTCTTGGGTTCATTTGCTTGGAAAATCTTTTCCCAACTCTTTACTCCGAGGTAATGACTGTCTTTGAAGTTGAGGTGTGCTTCTTGTATGCTAGTGAGGATGTAGAAAAAGGAGAACACTCCTCCACTGCTGGTGGAAGTACAAATTGTACAACCACTTTGGAAATCAGTATGGAGGTTCCTCAGGAAAATGGGAATCAGTCTATCACAAGATCTAGCAATTCCACTCTTAGGCATATACCCAAAAGATGCACATTCATGCAACAAGAACATCTGTTCAACTATGTTCATAGCAGCATTATTTGTAATAGCCAGAACCTGGAAGCAACCTCAGATGCCCCTCAACAGAAGAATGGATAAAGAAAATGTGGTACATTTACACAATGAAGTGCTACTCAGCAGAAAAAAAAAAAACAATGAAATCTTGAAATTCATACACAAATGAATGGAAACAGAAGAAACCATCCTGAGTGAGATAACCCAGTCACAGAAAGAAAACATGGTATATACTTACTCATATATAGATTTTAGGCACAGAACAAAGGATAACCAGCCTACAATCCACAGTCCCAGAGAAGCTAGGAAACAAGGAGGACCCTAAGAGAGACAGGACACTGATAGCTGGAGAAGGTGAAAAGGGACAAGATATCCTGAGCAAATTAGGAGCCCAGAGGAAGTGGGAGGGAAGTACAAGGTACAAAGAGGAGGTTTCAAGGACACAGAAGAGAAAAACATGAGGGATCAGGAAGGCCAAGTTGGGGGAAAGCAGAGGAGAGCAAGAAAATGGAGAAAATGGAGGGGGCCGTTACGGGTTTAATGAGAAACCTGGCACTAAGGAAATCTCCAGGGACCCACAAGGTTGACCCTAACTAAGAATCTAAGCAATAGTGGAGAGGCTGCCTTAAATGCCCTTCCCCTATAATGAGATTGATGACCACCTTAAACTTCATTCTAGAGCCTCCACCCAGTAGCTGATGGAAGCAGAAGCAGAGATCCACAGATAAGCACTGAGCCAAACTCCTGGAATCCAGTTTAGAGAGGGAGGAGTGATGAGCAAAGGGGTCAAGACCAGGCTGGGGAATGATGGGAGATGCCATTATGTATATATGTTTCTCATACTGGTTAATAATAAAGCACTGTTGGCCAATAGGAAAGGAAGATAGGAGGGACTAGGAGACAAGGAGGAAATAGGAAGTAGTAAGGAGGAGTCAAGATGGAGAGTCTGGAGAGAGCTGGACGTCAGCCGCCTCCCCGGAAATAAAAAGCTGTGGATTCCTTCCAAACTAATGTGGTTTGATCAAGCCAGACCCCCTGAAACAGCGTTCCTGGTGATCCAACATTCAAAATAGCTTGAACGAGGCAGCCTTGCAGACTACAGCCATCTTCTTAGGATCCCCACGACAGCGCCCCCTATCAGCAAAAAGTAGTTTGAAAAGAACGACGCCCAAATTCCCAAATATTGTTTATAAATGCTTGTTTTCATTTAAATGGACTTGGTTATAAATGGGTAATGATCACAGCCAATTATTTTTAAAGGTAAAAAGGGAATTATGGTATTGATATGATTACTTTGTTTTGGAATGGATTTTCATTTATTGATACAATTTAATGTCAATTTTGTGATATGTATATTTCTCCTCTTGTTTAGGTATCGTGTTTATTGAGCTCAGTTAGAAATATAATGTACAATGTAGTACAGATAATAGATAATTATCTATGATAGTCAAAGTTTAGAGTTAAGTTAGTTAGGTTTTTCAAGATACACAGAGATGTATTTGAGATAGATAGAAATTCTTCAAACCTTTCAAAGACCTACAGAATATGGCATTTAAAATGGTTTAGGGTTTTTCTTGACAATGAGACATAATTGTTCCTGGCAACACCACCTGCGTCAGAAAGGAAGATGAAGATGGACATCGAAGAAATGCATTATGAAGTTTGCTTCCAATATGGCAAGACTAGCCATTTGGACAAGATACTGCTCTTGTCTGGACTGTTTGACTTTATGCTGTATAAACTGGACATGCAGGACCCACAGAAAAGTGATTGCTGATTCAAGATGGACATTGCTACAGAGTTTCTGCTTCATGGAAGAGTCTGCCAGACAGTCTGCAGGACACAAAAAAAGTGACGGACAAACTGCCAATACAAGAAGACAGTTTAAAGTTTCCTGCATTGCTGAAGAGCCTGCAAACACACTATGGCCTATGGGCTGAAGATAAAAGATTACAAAAGAACTTTGGGTGACCAGACAGTGAGTTGTCTCTGTCATTTCTAGAGTTTATATACTATCCTTCTGTGGTCTTTAAAGGAGTTGAAGACAGATAGTAATGATTATAGTTTTCCTTAGTTGGATTAAAGATAAGTTACATATAGGACTTTAGACTCACAAAGATGGAATAGATGATGGAATAGTTCCTTAAATCTTGATAAATGTTAATGAACTAAATATTGTTAACTATGATTCTTATTTGGTAACTGTTGTGTTATATATTTTGCTATGTTAAGGTTAAAACCCTTCTTTTTATTTAGACAGAAAAGAGGAGATGATGGGAGATGCCATATGTATATATGTTTCTCATACTGGTTAATAATAAAGCACTGTTGGCCAATAAGAAAGGAAGATAGGAGGGACTAGGAGACAAGGAGGAAATAGGAAGTAGGAAGGAGGAGTCAAGATGGAGAGTCTGAAGAAAGCAGTATGCCGCCGGCTCCCCGGTAAGAGAAATACATAGATCAGCAGAAATGGGTTAATAATTCAGGCAGAGCTAGCCGATAAGAAACAAGTAACCAGGCCAACAGCATTGTATCAAATACAGAGTCTCTGTGTATTATTTGGGGCTGACGTGGCGGCGGAACAAGAGCAGGCGGTGGGCAGAAAAACCGTACTCGTTACAGGGGAACCCACAGAAACAGCTGACCTGAGCAAGTGGGAACTCACAGACCCCTTTCTGACAGCTGGGAAACCAGGATAGAACCAAACCAGGCCCCCTGAATGTGGGTGTCAGTTAGGAGGCCTGGACAGTCTATAGGGCCAATGGCAGTGGAACCAGTATTTACCCCTAGTGCGTGCATTGGCTTTGGGAGCCCATTCTTTATGGAGGGATACTCTCTTAGCATAGACACACAGGGGAGGGCCTAGGTCCTGCCCCCAAATGATGTGACAGACTTTGATGACCCCCACTCTCCCTGGGGAGTGGATAGGGGGTGGGATGGGAGGATTGGTGGGGAGAATGGGAGAATGGGATTGGTGTGTAAAATAAGATTGCTTTTAATTTAAATAAAAATTAATTTAAAAAAAGAATGTATCTAAAGGGAAAAAAACCTTTTAATTAAAAGTTGAGAAAACAGCCTTGAGGTGGTGGTGCACACCTTTGATCCCAGCATTCAAGAGGCAGAGGCAGGTGGATCTCTGTCAGTTCAACGCCAGTCTGGTACACAGCTCGTTCCGGGACAGGCTCCAAAACAATACAGAGAAACTGCCTGGAACCCACCCACCCCCAAAAGAAGCTGAGAAAACAATAAGCTGGTATGTAAATGCCAAGGGAAGGCGCTATCTAAGCGCTATGGGACTGAATCCCTGAACACAGGACATGGAGCTACAGGGTTTGCACTTTGGCCTTCTACGTTTCTGTCTTACTTTGGTCCTTTATTTCCTTGCTGTGCCCCATTCCTCCATTTTGGAATGGGAATGTATATTCTGTGCCATTGTACATGGGAAGTATGAAATTTGTTGTTGCTGGGTTGTTTTTTTTTTTTTTTTTTTTTTCTCTTAATTTTACAGGGGGGTCTCAGTTAAGAGATTGCTTTGAGTCTCAGAAGACACGTTGGACTTTTGAACAATGTTCAGACTGTTCAAGACCGTGGGCGTAGGGTAAAAAAGGCCAGCCAAAGAAACCCACCCTGGCCCCAAAGCAGAACCAGTGAAGGAAACCCATCCTAACTCTGAAACCCAAGCCGGTAAAAGAAATATACCCTGGCCCTGAAATTAGAGCCTAAGGGCTAAAAAGGGCCAGTGAAAGAAACATACTTTGGCCCTGAAACCAGAGCCAAATCTGCCCCTGACCAACTAAGCAGAAAACCAACCAATCCCTGAGCATGAGATCTAGCCAATCTGAGCTCAAGGGACTGAAATCTGACTGATTCCTACCCTGAAAATCTTCTCCCTGGAAAAGCCCTGCCGTGAAGAAGCCCTATCTAAGCCCTGTGCCTGTTTAGTTTGCTTGCTGTCTTCTCCCTCCCTGGCAGAGGCAGACACTCTCCTCGATTCTTCCCTCCCAGTAAATCTCTTGGATGAGGTTTGGGTGACACCTTCTTTTGCTGGAGCAGAGAGGAAGCCTGGGCAGAGAGGAGCAGAGGAAGGCTGGAACACTTTCACCTTCCCCTAGGGGAGCAGAGCACAGCTGTGACACTCTGGAGGGACCAGAGGCAAACTGCTAACAACAGCACTGGAGAAGCCCTTCCCTCCTGGAGCAGCGCTGTTACATTGGAGAAGCCTTTCCCTGGAGCAGGCTGTAAGCTGCTATGCTTACTGTGACTGTGGTATTCCTTGGCTCCTGAGTGTCTGAATACTTTTCTACCTGACCTGTAACACTTACAATGGGGACTTTTGAAGATGGACGAAGAAGCGTTCTGAATTATGATATGGCCATGAGCTTGTGGGGACCAAGGAGTGCAAAGTAGTGGCTTAGATGAGGATTCCCTTTAAAAATTTGTGACTTCACTCTTCTCTGGCAAGCAGGTAAACGTATTAAAATTGTATGTACACACAGACATACACATACACAAAATCACACAGGCACACACACAGAGTGGAGGGGGAATTAATGTTCTTTTGTCATGGGATCTCACTGACAGCAGTCTGGGGTCATAGTTCTACACTGACCTATCACAGCATCTGTAACAAACTCTATCTCTAAGGGACTCAGTTTATCCAGCTATGAATTAGGGAGCTGGGGATGTGAATTAGCCTGACTAAATGCCACCACTTAGCTTTAAAGATCTACCCAGAACCTGGAGGAGGCATCCAGAGCTGGGCTGTACAACCCCTGGTCTAGAATTCTATCACTTTACCCAAGTAGAAAAATTCTGAAATCTGCTTCAATCTTTTCTCTTGACTTATTATTCTAAGTATACCTCAATAATGAGATGATGAGACAGACTTGTAGACTTCCTAGGGGAGAACTTACCCTCTCCGAGGAGCAGATGGGAAATGGCGGAGGGGTGGGGGTGGGGAGAAGAAAAGGGAGGGGGAACTGGGATTGAAATGTAAAAAAAGAATAAGTAAATAAAACTATCAAAGAGCATATTGGAGGTCAGCTTCTCTCCACTCCTCTAGAGACTCTGCTCTAGTCAGGTCTTAAAAAGCACATATATCCAGAAGTGAGCTCAAGTTGGACATAGAAGGATTTCTTGCAGCTAGGTAAGAGCCAGCATTCCTTGGCTCTTATCCTCCAAAGGTAGTCATTTTCCTTGCCTCTGACAGAAGGCACATATGGCTTTCCATTGGCATATACTTGTAGTGCCTATCAGCATACCGAGGTCCATGCTAGCCCCCAGGCTCCCTCAGTCCCTAAGGACTTGTTGATTCCATCATCCCTGCAGTAGCATCCTGGTCCTCCTTACCTCCTCTTCTACCCTCCCTAAGACTCCAGACCTGCCCCATTCATGGGCTTCCCTCCCCACAGCTACTCATCCTTCTTCAAAGCCATGTGATTTTCCCGCAAACAGCTCCATCCCTACCACTGCTCTCTTGGGGAAAGCCCTGCCCATGTCCAGTCTACTCCCTTTTCTCTCCACCCTGGACTCTTCCAGATGCTTCTGAAATTTTTCTCTATCATACCAACAATAAAACCTTCCCCCAATATTGGAGTGGCCATCTTGGCAGTTTCTTTACTGTGTTCCATGGCACACAGAGACTCTAGAAAAGGAAAAGAAGCTTAGGAGCAAACAGTAGAACATGAGAAGATAATGAGAGACCACACACATTGGCTTCTGGGCCTGAGTTTCACCTCACTGTCCTATCTTTTGATTTCAGATATTTTGGTTCACAAAACAACAAAAACAAAGAAAGGCAAGTCATAAAATAAACTGATGGCCCAGGAAACACATGTTTATTTAGTCATCATCTAGAGACATTCTGGGTTATGGGCTAGGGCCCAGGAAGAACCAAGTAGTTATAAATATATACTTCCTAAAAACTTCAAAGCAAGTCATGCCCTATCTATAGGGCTGTAACTCAGAGTCATTCCATGATCCCAAGCTGCAAGTATCTGAAGATTCTAAATTTCAGCCAATTAACATTTTACCAGCCCAAAGCTCTTCTATGGACTGACCTGCAGCTCCAGGTAAAGACCCTCGCCACACACGCCTGACAAACTAAGGTCCATTCCTGGGACTCTCTTAAAGGTAAGAGGAGAGAATCAACCCACAGTTGTCCTCTGACTGCTTTTAATAGCACAAGCTTTAAAAAACACCACACATTGCAGAACACCCTGTGTCTTTGCCAGGCCTGTGTGCATGGCCAGACTGTAATTCTTTTCCCTGCCCACTCTTGAGGGAATCCAAGTCCACATGAGTGGACTTGGGAAGCCAGCTATCGAGGATCGTCACGTTTGCCACCGTGCTTACCTGTTGCCATAGCCTTGATCTCATCAAGAACAGGAATTGCTTTGGGTTTTAATCGGTCTCTTATTCTGCCTCCCAGCAAGTAATCGATACCTGGATTTAAAGGAAAGGGGTCAGTGAGAGCAAGTCAGCTTCCCCTTCAGCTCTCCTGCAATCTCCTCACACCCCAGGCCTGGGAAACACTTCCCTCTCCCTGTCCTCATGTCCCATCCTCCGCTCCATACCATTCACTGTGGGCCCTAATGTGAGGAGATGCCATTGCCTGCATCAAAATCCTCAAACTCATTCCCAGTGGAAAATTATTCTCACGAATGCTTAGACCTTGTGTGAAGAACACAGTGTTTATCATCTTGAGCTGTGTTATGTAATCACTGTCTCCAGCTCATCTACATTAGGGTTTTCTCCACTGTGGTACCCGCTGACTTTTGGGATCAGATACTGCTTTTTTGTGATGGACTGACTGTCCTGTGCACCCTAATAGGGTGAGGAGCAGCATGCTCAGCCAATCCTGCCAACCATACATCCCTCCAAATGCCGCCTTCTGTTGAGAACAGTTAACTAGGCTGCATGTGAACTCTAATGAGACCTGGTCCATCGAGGAGCAGGGCCAGGCTATCTCTAAAGCCCATTTATTTAACAGGGCACTTAGCAGGGTCTCATGTGCTCTTCTGTACATACAAGAAATGACAACAGGAACGGGAAGGTTTTGCAATAAGCAAAGTAAAATTTTAAAACAGATACCCAAGTCCTTCTGCTTGTGAAACTGAACTTAAACATTGAGTGGTTTTTTTTTTTTTTTTTTTTTTTTTTTTATTTATTTTAGACTCATTTATCAAGCAAGGTGGATAAATGTTTTGCCTGCATGTATATCTGTGCACTGTGTGTATACCTGGTGTCCATGGAGGTAAACAGAAGGCTTTTGATGTCTCTGAACTGGAGTTATGGGTGGTTGCAAGCTTCTATGTGGGTGCTGGGAGGGGAGTGTAGGTCCTCTACAAGGGTACCAAGTTCTACTAACCACTAAGCCATCTCTCTAGCACCTAAAATTTGGGGTTTCATTGTCCAATGACAAGTGGCAAACACCCAGCATTAGCTCTAGAGTTTTTCCTGCCTTCCTCCTACCTTCAACTGCTCACTATTTTGCTTTATAGAGGTAGCTAAGGTTTCGGACCATAACAAATGAAAACATAAACTAACTTTTGATGCTACTTACCATCCAGGTCTGAGAATGCCTTGTTCTTGGTGGTGTTGTACTGAGCCAATATATAGTCAATTTGCTGGAAAAGAAAATTACATGGAACCTGCTCTTTGAGGTGCATAATACAAAGTCATAATACAAGAAATTGACCCCCTCAGAGCACTTTGAAAAGGAAACAGCTAGGAGGTGACATACTCACTCATCTTTCCAAGTACTCTGACCGGCACACTCTTAAGTCTTACTGCCCTGGTACCAACTTACCTATTGTGTTTGTTTATTATAAACTTACTAGCTGTGGTCATTTCTTATATGTCATGGTAGTGTGGACTGGCTAAATGGGTCATGGTGGGGACTGTGTGGATGAGCAAAGGTGGGTACCCCTCTCTTTAGGCTCAGGATCACCAGCAGAGAGAGACTAATAACAGTCACCCGATTCATGGCTCTTAGAAGCTGAAGTTCGAAACTAGCCCAAGATCATGTCTACTGTGTCCTCCTGGTCATAAGCAGGTCACAGGGACAGCCCAGACAATGAGATGGATGTACCCCCAACACAATAAGTTTGACACACAAGTCCATGGTATTGACTACTCCCCACAGGTTTCCTAAGGGAGCATTTATTTACTTATTTACGGTAGCTTGGTGGGCCTGCTTCCTACTCTTTCAGCAAGGCCGGGTTTACATTCTTCCAGAGTTGCCAACCTTCCCAGCGAACACATAGCAGTGTTTACATCTTCATGTCTTTGGTTACTAGAGGTAAACATCTCAATCTCTTTGGGGACAGTTACATTCCATCTGTCAGTTGCCTACTCAACTGTCTGTATCATTTCTGTCTGTTAGTGGTCTTCATATATGCTCACACAGGTAAGTTTCCCCAAAGTCACAGGAATTTACCATCTTAATAAGATGACAAAAGCAATCCTAATTTTTGTGAGCCGCCGTAATTACTTTTGGCATTTGGGGAATGGGAAAGGGGTTTCCTGTGGAATCTTCAGGATGTTACATGAAAAACATTGAGTGTTTGTTTACAAGGTATAGAAACAGTAATCCCTCCTGTGCTACACTGTAAAACCAGTAGAGTTAACTTCCTTCTCTACTCTCCATAACGTTCTTTTTTGCTTCCAGCTACGTAACATACTTCATGTGCAGTATTTTGAGGAAAGAATCAACCTAGAAAGCCACTTCTTGTTCAAGGACCCAAGGGTGCTGGGGGGGGGGGGGCTCTTCCCGGTGTGGTACCCAATGGCATCACACAGTTAAGTCAGTTCCTGCTCAGATGCCTTTCAAACCACATTCATCAACACACTCCTAGGAAACGGGAGAGAGGGTCTTCCTATCATTGACCTTCGGCCATTCATTCTGTTTGCCTTCTTCCAAAATGGCTTGTGTTTATGGGTGTGTGTGTGTGTGTGTGTGTGTGTGTGTGTGTGTGTGTGTGTGAGTGTGTGACAGAGAGGGAGAGACAGCTCGCCCAAAGAAGACTGACACATCTACAGAGATAACAAACAGGTGTGCATAAAGCTAAAGAACTCTATCATACTAGTAACTATGAAATGACAACAGGTAAACTTATCACCACCATCAACAACAATAAAAACAAACAAACACCCACAGTGAGACTCTTAAAATTATTGGATACGTTTATATGTGCTGTGGTTTTGTTACGCCCAAATAAAATAATTAAAGACATGTAACCCCTGACGCTACGGTAACTGCCTCAGTTCTTTTGAGAATGGCTCCCTGGATGTCTTTCTTCAACTGCAGCATTAAAAGGCCACACCCGTCTATGTGGGTTCACTGGCTTCTTAGAAGGCTTGGCTGATCAACTTGATATGTCAGACCTTGTTGACTCCCCCCCGGGGGGGGGGGGGAGAGGACAGAGGGGATTACCCCCTCTGAGGGGTGAGATAGGAGGAAGTGGGAGGGGGAAGGAGAGGGAGGAGGAACTGAGGTTGGTGTGCAAAGCAAAAAAAATAAAAAAGACACACAAGAGTTTTTCAATACACAATAATAAATCATAACCAATTAACTAAACAACAACAGCAACAAAGGCACAGGCTTTTACCTTTGGGGTTTCGTTCAGGAACACTTGCAAGTCTCTGTAGTTGCTCTCTGCCAGTTTCTCGGTCCTCTTGACCCAGGACCTTTCTTGGTGATTGGCCACAAAGCCGTACATGATGCCGAGGCTGCAGGGGAAGGGAAGAAGAGTGTTGGCCACGATTCACTGGCCTGGGCACCACAGGGGCTACAGAACAGCCACCTCCGCCCCTCCCACTGCAGCCTACCCACTAAAGCCACCATCCGCACACCACCAAAATGGGGACCCAAGACTGGAGTAAGAGCTGTGTGCATGCCCCCTTGTGCCCACACAAACACCTCCGTACACCTGTACTACCCCCAGAGGTCAGGGAATTATGGAGATGGTAAGAGGGATTGGGGCTTTCTGGTGAGTTTTCATTTGATTGTTAGTTTCTATATTGTCCAGATTGAAAAGAAATAAGGTATTTCAGCATTAAAGCACTACAGGGAAGCCTAGGTTCATTTCCTGTTGCTGTGACAAAATACACCCATGGTGATTTCCTTCACACACAATACTAGACTGCGCCCAAGTGACAATTTTAGAACTAATCATGACACACACACAGGGCAGCATGCCCAGTGTTCTTTTATATAAAGAACAAAATAAAGCCAAATAATGATGCAAAAAAAAAAAAAAAGTGCCATGGTTATTGTGGGGAAGGCTGAGGGGTCTTTTCATGGCTGGGTATTCTTCACGGAAATTCTAGAATATGTACTTATGAAAAGGGTACCTTTTTCTACATAAAATACACACCACAAGAAACTCCAACATCCTTCACAAAGTCATCTTGCAGGAAAAATTGCATTGCATGAAATTAAACCCTTCTTCTCACCCATCTCATAAGATTGAATGTAAACATAGTAAAAGCTCCCAGGCTTTGTTTTTTTTTTTTTTTGCCACCATCAATCCCTTGATTTAAATTGTACTAATTAGTTCATTTGTTGAAGCAGATCCTCTGAACATTTCCAGGCTAGGTGGTGTGCCACTGTAATTCTGGATTTAGAAAGAGCAAGGTGAGAGAACCTTAGAGTTCCAGGGTAACTTGAACTGTACAGGGACCTTCTCACAAAATTAAAACAACCCCCCACTCCACCCCCGCCAAACAGGAGAGATAAAACCCAAAACACTTTTATATATGACCACTAGAGGGCAGCAAGGAATTAATGAATAGTGCAAAAAAAAAAAAAAATTTCCACACAGATCCAAAACACCAAAATTGGTACTTTGTAACTATGACGTCTACATGTGAAAAAGGTTTAGGAACGGTTTTGAAAGCAACAGACAAACCTTGGGAAAACAAGATGCAGTTGCCTATCACATTGTCAAGCAACTTCTCTCTGGTTTTATGTACACATATACAAATTACATTTAAAAAATCCCATGTCGCCAAAACCCTGACTTGCAAAATTACTGATTCATGGGGCTGGAGAGACGGCTCAACAGTTAAGAACACTAACTGCTCTTCCAGAGGACCCAAGTTCAGTTCCTGGAATCCACAGTAGGCTCCTCACAGAAAACTGCAATTTCAATTACAGGGCATGCAAAGGCTTTCAAATTAACTTACACTAACATGCTGGTACACACACACACACACACACACCTGCACAAAGTCATGCAGGGACACATAATGAAAAGTTCTTTTAAGCAAGTAAAAATTGCTGTTGCATTGGGAGGAGAGCTTCTGTGGCTTTTCTTTCTTAAAACATGTCATCCTGTGACAGTGATGCATGAGCCCTTTAGGGCTCCCAAAGTGGCCCTAACATGCCTATGTGGTACATGACTCTGAGCAGTACTTTATTCTGCCTGGTGACCTGCAGCAGATGAATAGGGTGAGAGGGGACAGGTGACTTGCTACTGGATACACACACACACACACACACAGACACACACGCTCACACACACAATGCTCACAACACACACATGCTCACACACACCAGCCTTCGAAGACCCTTCTCCTCTCTGAGCCTCAGCAGCCATCACAAAGGTCAGTTTGGATCTGATGATATAAACCGGTTGGAATTTAGCCCACACTTTGTAAGCACAGCTCAAACTGCAAAGGGGAGGGGTTAGGGAGGGTCCACAAATTCCCTGGGACTTGTTTATTTTTGAGTTCTTTCTTTGGGCAATCTCAGAAAATAAAGACAAAATGTTCTGTACCATTTGGGCTGCATAATGACACACTACTGTCTGTCCCAAACTTGCATTTGTGTACGAAGCAGACATTGTGCCTAGGTAATTGTTGGCTAACATGACATCTTCATCATAAGTTAGGCCGAGTGTCTCAATGACTTTAGAGTTATGTGCAGAAGCAAGATACAAGATACATAATGCACACACAAATAAAATAACAAATCATGACAGGGTCTTCATTTAACTAAGCCAGGTTCAAACATCTATGCTGTGACATGTTGGGATCACTCCTAAATAGACCTGATATCCACCCATGGAGAATCTCCCTTTCTCTCCCTATAATCTCCAAATCATCTCAGCCATTGGCTCTATTGGGCTGCAGACCCATTTGGTCACAGGAAAAGTCTAAGTGGATGCAGGTCCTGCATTCCCGGTAAGCCAAGACCTCGTGGAAATACTTAGACTAATAGAAAAATATGTTAATAGTTAAGTCATAGCTAGCCAATAAAAAACCATAGCCAATGGCCAACAGTTTCATAATTAATACAGCATCTCTGTGTGTTGTTTTGGGCTGATGCGGCTCTGCAACCAGGCTGATGGGAAACTGCTTGTAACAAAATGGCGCCTGCAACGTGGGTACTAAGAACTTCCATTTAAAAGCTTAAAAAGGGATTTTAGAAACAAAACAGAGACAAGCAAGGCTCCCCAGCATTTTTCTCATTTTTCTCGGGTGGGCTCTGTTTTGTTAGAGACAAGCAGAGACTTGTACAGCTCCTTAGAGAGAGTCTTCCTGACTCGGGCACAAGTGGGAAAAACTTCATGGCTCTTTTAAGAGGCCCTGCTAACAACTGAGAGCAGCTGGCAGTGGCAGTGACCACATCTCCAGGCTGGCAGCAGCATGCTGCTTGATGGCAGCATAGACCAATGAAGTGAGCACAGCTCTCAGTGCTGGCGGTAAACATACCCTTGCCATCTTAGAAAGCCAGTGGCTAAAACAGCTGCTGCTTTAATTTTAGCAATGCTGTTTAGCAGATACAAGACTCATGGTCAGAAAAAAGATAAAGACTTACAGTAAAGACAGATTCAGAGGGGGAAAAGTAAAACCTCTGAAGGTTTACAGTGTGTTTAAAAATATGCATAGGCTTGTGAAAGAAATGAAAACAGGATAAAGTGGTTTTTTTTTTTTTTTTTTTTTTTTTTTTTTTTTTTTTTTTTTTTTTTTTAAGGAAGAAGTAGAGTAGCTGGGTGTGGTGGCACAAGCCTTTAATACCACTTGATCCCAGCACTCGGGAGGCAGAGGCAAGCAAATCTCTGTGATTTCAAGGCCAGCCTGATGTACAGAGTGAGTTCCAGGGCAGCCAAAATTACACAGAGAAACCCCATCTCAGAAAAAGAAAGGAAAAAATAAAAGTAAAATAGAGTAATAAAAAAAGCCATGTAAAGATGGAAAATACACAGAGAGTCTGGATACTGTATGCTATTGTGTTGTCTTTGAATTGTTTGACTGCTGAGGAAATAGCAACAACCGCTAAAAGAAATGCTGCTGGATTAATCCAACTTACATATTTTAAAAATGCCTTGACTTCAAAATTTAAGTACAAGGATATGTTACTTTGGAAAAGAGATTTTATTTATGCTTCCACAGAAAATGAAAAACTGTGGATTTCTCCCAGACTAACATGGTTTGACGAAGCAAGACCCCCTGAAGCAGTGTCCCATGGGGATCCAACATTTAAAACAGCTGGAACAAGGCAGCCTTGCAGATCACAGGCAGGATTTCTGCCTTTCCTTAGGATTTCCATGGTATTACAGTGTCCCCAACAAGCAGGAAGCAGTTTGGAGAAAACAACACCCACATTCCCAAATACTGTCTATAAATGTTTGTTTTCATTTATTTGGGGTTGGTTATAAATGGTTAATGATTTTAGTCAGTCTCCTTCTAAAGAAAAAAGAGAGAAATGATATAGGAACAAATACTTTGCATTGGTACGGATTTTCATTTATTGATACAAACTTAAAGATAATTTTGTGATAAGTGTATTTCTCCTCTTGTTTAAGTATTATGTTTATGTAGCTCATGTAAAAATGTAATGTATAATTTAGTACAGATTATAGATAGTTACCTATAATAGTCAAAACTTATGCGTAGGTTTTCTAGATATACAGAGATGTATTTGAGGTGGATAGATATCTTCAGACCTTTCAAAGACCTACAGAATATGGCATTTAAAATGGTTTAGGGTTTTTCTTGACAGTGAGGCACAACTGCTCCTGGCAACACCGTTTGTGTCAGAAAGGAAGATGGACCTGAAATAAACTCATTATGGAGTTTACTCTCAATATGGCAAGACTAGCCATTTGGGCAAGAATCTGCTCTTAACTTTATGCTGTATAAACTGGACATGCAGGACCCACAGAAACAAGATGGACAGTACTTCAGGGTTTCTGCTTCATGGAAGAGTTTACCAGACAGTTTGCAGGACACAGAAAAGTGACTGACAATTTGCCAATACAAGTGGACAGTTTGAAATTCCCTGCTTTGTTGAGGAATCTGCCAGAAACACTCTGGCCTATGGGCTGAAGATGGAACATTTCAGAAAAACTTCAGGTGACTGACTAGGCAGTGAGTTGTATCTGTCAATTCTAGAATTTATATATTAATCTTCTGTAGTCTTTGATGGAGTTGAAGATAGATAGTTATGGCTATAGTTTTCCTTAGTTAGGATTGAAGATAAGTTACATATAAGACTTTAGAATCACAAAGATAGAATAGATGATAGAATATTTTCTTTAATTCTTTTTTTAAAGGAATTTTTCTAAGATTTATTTATCAAGTATACAGTGTTCTGTGCTTACATGTACACCTGCAGGCCAGAAGAGGGCACCAGATCTCATTACAGATGGTTGTGAGCCCACCATGTGGTTGCTGGGAATTGAACTCAGGACCTCTGGAAGAGCATCCAGTGCCCTTAACCTCTGAGCCATTTCTCCAGCTATATTTTCTTTAATTCTTGATGTTAATGAACTAAATATTGTAATTATAGTTCTTGCTTAATAACTGATAGCTGGGAATCCAGCATTGGACCAATTCAGACCCCCTGAACACGGGTCTCAGCTGGAAGGCCTGGGCAATCTAAAGGACCTCTGACAGTGGAACCAGGATGTATTCCTGGTGCACAAAAGGATTTTGGGAGCACATTCCCCATGGAGGGACACTCCCTTAGCCTAGAGGCAGGAAGGAAGGCCTAGTCCCTACTCCAAATGACTTGACACATTTAGATGACTCCTCCAGGAAGGCATCAACCTACATGTGGAGTGGGGGGGGGGGAAGGGATGAAGAGGGAACTGGGATCGATAAGTAAAATAAGAAAAATTAAAAATAAAACAAACAAACAAAAACTTTACTATATTGACCGATGCTGGTTTCCAACTATGATCTCTAATTTAAACATCTCATTTAAACAAAATAGAGAATGAACAATCCTTTGTGTTGGTTTGGACACTCTCTGATAGTCGCTGTATTTTTTAAGCAAGCACTAGAGCAACATAAATTAATTTTTCTTTATTTTAACAGTTGCCAGTCAACAACTAGGCTATGAAGAAACTGAGGGAAACTGACGTAAGGGAAACAGGCCATTAAAGCTCAGTGGGTCCCCTTTCCCCTTCCCTGGCACCTGGAAGCATTGTTCAGGTACCTAATGGGTGCTTTGTGCGGTATAGTAAAATGTTTTCAGATTTTGAGGAGAAGACAGGAATTTTTATTCATAGCACATATAGCATTACAAAGTGTACATTGTGGAAAATAATTTCTTTCCACACATACTTATGAGTAAAGACTTAGGGGCCTTACTAAATCTTTAGAATCTGAAGACTTTTTTTTCTTATCACTAGGGGATGGGGAGATGGCTCAGTGGGTAAAAGTGCTTGCCGTACAAGCATGAGGACTCGAGTTCCAATCCTAGGACACCAAGTAAAAGCTAGACATTTATCACAAACGTGCACTCGTACAGGGAGATGGGAGGTGGAGACACAGAATCCTAGAAGCTTGCAGGCCAGCTAACCTAGAATTCTCAGTGCAAAAGCAACAGGGAAGCCCTGGCTTCAAACACAGTGGAAGGAGAAGGCCTACCTCTAAGGTTGTCCTGTGACTTCAAACAAGTCATGGCATGTTCATGCCTGACTCCACACATTCCAGTGTGCCCATCACACACACACACACACACACACACACACACACACACTTTATCAGGGTATCTTCAAGAGAAAATTTACCAAAAGGCCAGCTCATGGAGTAAGTCTTCCAGACTATGGTAACTTCTAATGACAGTGGCATCTTTGTGAGTAGCTGCTACTATCCCTTTCTGTTTTGATTCACTTTAAACTCATGTGTAGGGCCATGCCTGTAACCTCAGGACTCAGAAACTGTCTGTCATAGGCATTATCAGAAGTTCAAGGCCAGCCAGGACATTTTGCAGTCCTTACTATCTGTAACTTCAAGGTTAGCCTAAATTATGTAACAGGACCCTGTGTCAGAAAAAGGAAATAAATAAATAAAAGCTGGGAGTGCTGGTGCATACCTTCATTAAATAATATTCATTCCCTAATATTCATTAGGGAAGCAGAGGCAGCTGGATCTTTGTGAGTTCAAGACCAGCCTGCTGTGCATAGTGAGTTTCAGGACAGCCAGAACTATACAGTGAGATGCTATCTGGACAAGAAAGAAGAAAGGAGGGGGTGGAGAGGAGGAAGGAAGGAAATAAAAAGCAAACTTGTGGACTTAAAGGTAAAAAGAGACATTCCCCATCACCTTGCGACACCCTAATGTCTATGGTCCAAGACTTGACTTGCCTCATGAGCAGACAAATGACCAAGAGGGAAACGGCCAAGCATTTTCTCCGGCACGGCTCGTTATGCTTCTGCCGCTGGTGCATTTCTCCACCACATTTGTTACAGCAACGACACATACAAAAGAAGTAGCCCACCAGAGGCATGAGGATAATGAACAGCAGTCCCAGGACGACACAGGTCAGAATTCCTATTTCATAGTAGGCAATCTGCAATGTAGAGGCAAGACACAGGACATGTCACACGAAACAGAAAGAACATTCCACAGTGGTGAGTACCTCGGTATGCATGCATTTACATGGTTTTCCATTTAGAGGCTCTCTGTGCTGGAGGAAGTGGAGTGCTGAGTTACGAGAATGCTGGCCAAGAGTTTAGTATTCCTTTCAATTGTCCAGAAGTTACCTAAGAGCAAGGTCAAGCGGGAAATGGTTTACTTTCAACTTCAAAGGCATTTTCTTTTCCAGATGGCTTGGAAAATAGCTGTGCATAGGGAGACATACACTCACAGGGTACTTTACATCAGGAAGACAGAAGAAGGAGAGATTTGAGCCATGTTGGATGGCACTAACTAGTGACAAACTTAACATTTACTAAAGAATCTACGATATGCTGGGACAAAGGTGGCACAGAAATTATGGGAGTAGCCAACTAATGACTGGTCCAGCCTGAGACCCATACTGTGAGAGGGAGCCCACCCCTGACACTGCCTGGAGGGTCAGGGCATAGTGGCTGGAGCGAGAACTAGGATAGAACGAAACATGATTGCCAAAAAAGAAAAAAGAAAGAAGTCAATGCAATACTCCCAATGATACTCTGCTGTACTCCGAGATCGTTATCTAGCCCAACTGTCACCAGAGAGGCATCACTCAGCAATGCTACAAAAACTGGGGAATCTTGTGGAAAAGGGGGAGGGGGGACTATGGGAGCCCAAGGGGCCAAGAACATCCAAGAAAGCCCACAGAATCTACTTACCTGGGCTCATGGGGCTCACAGAGACTGAACCACCAAGTAGAGAACTTGTGTGGGTCTGACCTGCGCCCTGAACATATACTACAGTTGTGTAGCTTGGTCTTGTGGGACTCCTAACAGAGAGTCTCTGACTCTGTTACCTGCTTTGGGGACCCTTCCCTCCTACTGGGTTGCCTCATCCAGACTTAACAGGGCAGGAGGTGCCCAGTCTTACTGCAACTTGATATGCCGTGGCTGGCTGATACACATGGGAGACTGCACTTTTCTGAAGAGAAAGGAGAAATGGGTAGTGGGGGGGGGAGGGAATAAAGGAGGATGGGGGAAGAGGAGGGAGAGGAGACTGTGATTGGGCTGCAAAAAAAATCAATTAACTAATAAAAATGGGGGAATAAATCCTAAATAAATAAATAAATAAATAAATAAATAAATAAATAAAAATAAATAGAATCCAAATTTTGAACAAATTCTAGACATTCTGGGTGAATCAAGCACAAGGAATTTACCTTTTATGCGCAAATGCTGGCAGTAACAATACGGCTCTTATCAGGTTTTTGTGGAAACTAGAGATAGGTAAGACTAAAGAGGAGATATCTAGGCAACCACTAGGCACTAGCAAGAAAAGCTTTCTATGCCATCCATGAGGCAGGCCTGGAGAGTAAGAGGCTTGGTAGCCCGTGTCCACACTGGTCCTGAGTTCCCAGGATCCAGCACAATTTCCCTATAGAATCAATACACCTTAATATATTTTCATTCTCCTTGCTAGCTTGTTTTTGGGTACATGGAACATTGTCCTGAAGGATGCAATAATCTCTCATTCCAGTCCAGGCACAAAGTCTCACATCTCTCATCTTTGTTTGCTCACTCCCTTGTTGTTTTGTTTTTAAGACAAAGTTCCCTGTATCCCAGGATGGTCTCACTAGTAATGAATGATGCTCCTGCCTCCACCTCCTGGGCACTCGAATTACAGATATGTGTCCCCATGTCTAGTTTCTGAGGATGGAACCCATGGGCTCATGAATCCTAGGCAAGCACTCTACCAACAGAGCTACACCCTCATCCCTAAAGTCCCTCGGATTTCTAAAGATTGGCAATCAATCACAGGTTGACACTTGATGAAAAGGCAAGATAGCAGTGGTGGATGTAGGAGCTAAGATGAAGAGAGAATAACAAAGCAGGAGCCTTGTCTTGCAGTTGTGCACTGAGCCTTGATCTCACATCCAACTTCCTGTTTAGTCACCTTATCTCCCCACAATAGGTGATGTATGTTTTCCTGCATTACTATGAGTGTGGCAATCAAAAAGAGAACTCAGGGCCACCACTCCCTCTAACCTGTCCACTGTGTAGCATTGCAGTGACAAAAAACAGCTGAAGAAAACACGACCTTGGCTCTTGCACAGACCAAAAAGCATCTCCTGATAGAAGATTCTGATCACATGTACCCTCTGGCTGGCCACCAGCTGTGTGGAGTTGCCTACCAGTCAGTGAACTCTATTGACTGCCCCTACCTATCAGCTGCCCCTAGGATCGCTCCTGAATTTCCGAACTTGGTGACAAACCTGTCACCCTCCCAACTGGCTAGCTTGTCAACCCATGCCTTCCTTGCCCCAATGCCGGTCTCTTCTCTTAAATGGCCTGCTGTATAGACAGCAGCTTTATCGGGGTCTGACTATACCGCCAGAAGCAAATGTGATGCCTTGGTAGAGAGCACTAAAACCGAAGTCAGTTACATCCTTCTGGGAACTCCTGGTCCTCTTACACTAGGAAAGTGTCCATCAACATGATGAGTTCCACAGGCAAGAGGAATGAACAATCATGGATTCAAAGTGAAGACAACAGCTCACGGTCAATATTCAATAGACAGCAATTAACTACAGACAACGAGCACTCAAGTGTGAACTGGGGTACACCTGACACTTTAATATTATCCACTTCAATATTAAAGTTAAAATGCTAATTTTAAAAAAAAGCAGAGCAAGGTACCGAGGATGTGTGTGTGTGTCCTTTTGCCCATTATTAATTGACTATTTAGCATTTCCTCGAGAACTAATATCACGAGCTATTAAGAAACCAGCCTAAGAAGGGTGTTGGTGGCACATGCCTTTAATCCCAGAACTCGGGAGGTAGAGGCAGGTGGATCTCTGTGAGTTTGAGGCCAGTCTGATCTACAGAGCTAGTTCCAGGACAGGCTCCAAAGCCACAGAGAAACCCTGTCTCGAAAAATCAAAACCAAAACACAAAACAACAAAAAACTACTACTACTAGACACTACTACAAATTCTCACATACTTACACATTTTGCTACCATTTCTCAGCAAGCCAAATTATTTACTATTTTTAAAGGAATTTAAAATATTTTCTGAACTCAAACCCAGTCGATAATAAACTCAAACCCAGGAGAGAAGATATATTGAAATGTTATAGTGCATTTGTTTTAGCTTCAAGGAAAAAAAAAAAAAAGTTTACGTTATATACAGTTTTCCCAACATTACCAACTAAACATCAGACTGTGTGAGGATTGAGACTGCACTGTTTCCCTCCTACCCCGCCACAGTGTTGAGGATTGAACTCAGAGCCTTCCACTTTGTAGACCTGCGTGCTCTACCGATGAACTATATTCCCAGCCCTAGCATAGTATCAGAGTTGATTTCTAAGCCACAGGATCTAGCAATTCGTAAATTAACTTTGGTGTGTCATGATCTTTGAGCACATTGTAGATTATCTTGACATCAGACAAAGGAAAGATTAAATATGACAGCTGAGAGGGAGACTAAACAAATAATATAAACTCTACCACAAGGGTGACAGACACCAGGGATGAACAGAAAGTGCCGACAGAGACAACACTACTCTTGGACTTCAGACAAACAGTGCCATGGCACACACAGTAGGCATGCAGTTTACCTTCAAAGCCAAGACTATGTTTTCTGGCTGTGGAAATCAAAGCAGTTGAGAAGTTTGTGTGGATCAGAGGCAGCATGCATCAAAACAAAACAGAAAAGTCACATAAGTCATTAACCATAACCATATCCCAGATTGGGAAAAAAAAAATCAAAACGGAAGGTTCAACATGAGGAAGGAATGTAGATTCCAGTGTATATTTGAGAAATAGTGTTTTGATTGGAGTCAAGTTCCAGAATTCACATTTGGGTTTTTGAAAGGTTCAAAGTTAATATCATGATCAGTTAGGGAAAGGGGAATTACAGGGCAGTTAAAGATGCTAACAAGCTTGTTACATGACCTTCATTAAGCAGGTCATGAGGGCTGCTTACAGTCGTCCGAAAGCCAAACTATCCCCTCTGGAATGAAATCTGAAAGTGCCATCCCTTGTTTAACAGCATCCAATGAAGTTCTGCCCTTCCTTCCTTCCTTCCTTCCTTCCTTCCTTCCTTCTTTCCTTTCTTCCTTCCTTTCTTTCATTTTGTTTTTGGAGACAATGTTTCTCTGTGTAGCCTTGACTGTCCTGGAACTTGCTTTGTAGATCAGGCTGGCCTCAAACTCACAGAGATTCACCTGCCTCTGCCTCCTGAGTGCTGTGATTACAGGTGTGCCCATTTCTAATGCAAACTTCCCAGAGTGGACCTTTAACTTCAGTCCCTCATTCTTCTTGGCCGTTCTAAGTTGTCTGTGTCACTATCAAATCCTTTCCTCTCTCCCCTCCTCATTCTGACTGCCCAGGTTGCCTCCAGGTCATCCATGGCTCTCTAGATGAAACTCAACTTAATCATAGATGCTGCCTCCTCCAGGAAGCCTGGACACTGTACATCTTCTTTCCCACTACGCTATAGCCCTGGACTTACTTAGAAGAAATGGCTGCCATGTATATAGCCACCTCCTGTCATACCACTGCTCTTGGAGAGCAAGCCCTACATGCAACCAAAACTAAACCAACTGATGTGGTAGTGAAATAAATGTCACAACCCCAAACCAGAGATTCTTCAGCGTACCAGAGATGGGGACTAGTCGGTGATGGGTGATGGAGATGAGCCAACCCACAACGATGAGAGGAAAATAAAGCAGACCTCAATGAATTCTTCCTTAAGCTAAATGTTCTCAGTTTATAAGCCTGTCCCTTTTGGTGACCTGTGTGAAGGGAAAGAAGGTGGCTACTGTTTCTAAAGGCCATCTGTGGCAAAATGAAACGAGCAGGCTCTGTCAGTCTTCATTTCACTGCTTTGAAGTTTTCAGGTTTGGAAATCTGAACGTAAGCAAACTGTCCCTTACCTGGGGCGGATTGTCACAGCTTTGAGAGAACAATGTGCACGATTGGAATAATTTTTAAACAAAGTACTAAAGATGTTGGGGGTTGGGGACAGTTCAGATACACATGTCCCCAAGGGTCACCTAAGCATCCTGACAAGTCCCATCCTGTCTTCCTGGGTGAGTCTACATGCTTGATACCACTCACAACTTTGAGTCCCATGTCTGCCAGCCATAAGGACCTCCCAATATTCCAAGCCCCTCTCCCCTTACAGTACATAAGTCCAGGCCTGGGGAAGGCCAGGTTTCTTTGTTTTAAGGGAGCCCTCATGTGATGGCTACAGCTTAATTTGGGGAAATCTGTCCTCACTTGGTTATTGTGGCTGGTCACACTGGATGTAGGAAGGCCACCCTACTCACAAGCTATAACAAAAGGCTAATTCTTTTGTAATTTCTGCAGCCCAAGAATTGGCCTGTCTGATCTATTTGACAGGGTAAGAACAAACACCCCCATGGACTTGGGCAGGTACATTTTTACTGACCTCTTTCCAAATGAGCTATGTACAGGATAAATTCATTTCTGTGTTATACAGCAATTAAAATCTTGGTTTCACACCGTGGTGTCCTATTATTCTCTACTTAGTTGCCCATTATAACCATCTAGGCGGGCGGCTCAGCAATCAATGCCCCGTGGGCTGGACAGAGATCATCCCTTGGTGCTCTCTGCAATCCCTGATCTCTTGCCTCCTGATGGGAGATACCATTATGTATATATGTTTCTCATACTGGTTAATAATAAAGCACTGTTGGCCAATAGGAGAGGAAGATAGGAGGGACTAGGAGACAAGGAGGAAATAGGAAGTAGTAAGGAGGAGTCAAGATGGAGAGCCTGGAGAAAGCAGTACGCCGCCGGCTCCCGGTAAGAGAAATACATAGATCAGCAGAAATGGGTTAATAATTAATGCAGAGCTAGCCGAAACCGGGCCAACAACATTGTATCAAATACAGAGTCTCTGTGTATTATTTGGGGCTGGCTCAGGCGGCAGGACAATACCAGGCGGCGGGCGGAAAAACCTTACTCGTTACAGCCTCCCATTACCTGGCCTGGATGACTTTTCTCTATCTCTGGACCATCTGCTCATCGCTACCACACCTGACCTCAACGCTCACCTGGTCCCCCAGCACTCCCAGAGCCACCTCCTGCCCACCCCCTTGTCCACCCCACTTCTGCCAGAGTCACTACTAGCAGTCAGAGCTTCTGATCAGAATTTCTTGGGTTTGTGTGTGTGTGTGTGTGTGTGTGTGTGTGAGAGAGAGAGAGAGAGAGAGAGAGAGAGAGAGGTTTTTTGTTTTTGTTTTTTGTTTGTTTGTTTGTTTGTTTTTTGTTTTCTGTGTCTTTGCATGTTGCTTCAAACCTGCTTATTTCCTTATTGCCCTTTGCCCTGAAACCATAAGGTCCTGCTGGGGCTTGTTCAGAACAACCTCCCTTATCTCCACCATTCCTCTAATTCAAGCCGGATGCACATCTAGCAGCTGCTCAACAAACCCAGCAATGAGCACAGGAGAGAAGTGGCTGTGGAAGGAACTGTTCTCAAGCACAGCCTCCTGCCACTGCATCTAGCTCCTAAGAATTCTCAAACATTTCTCCTTAGCTAACAATCGAAACAAAACCAAAAAGCCCTTAGTTCTTCCTTTTCAGGCAATTTTCAAATGACATATAGCTTGTTTTTCTTCAACCACCATTTTGAAATTTATCCTGCCACTCAAATGGGATCTATAAAATAATACACTATCCCACAAAATGGGATCTATAAAATAATACACTATCCCACGAACTCATTAGTCAAATGAGTTAGCAAATTACAGATAAAGCAATGTTTTTTTTTAAACCTTCGTTCAAGCCAGACATGATTTTTCTCACGTTTGCTATTTTTAATAACAAGTAACAACAAAAGGTTACCTCCTTTGGGTCGACTGTAAAGTCAAAATCCTTCCGTATGATTTTTCTGACCATATCTGTAAAGAAAAGAAAAACACAAAATAGTAAAACGATTTTATCAGTAAAAGGATACAATGCATACACATAGGTCTATTAAGCCTTTAAATTATTTTAGGTGGGCATAGCATCCTTATAATGATAGTCCTGTTTCCTAAGATAGATAAATAATTAAGCTGCTGAGCCTAACATTACATTGAGGTTGCTAATTTTTCTTTGCATTTGTTTATTGAGAGGGTGTAGCACAATGGTAGGACAGGGATACAATATGGACAAGGGGCCTAGGGCTCTATCCATCAATACCACACTGTGGAAGTCAGAGGACCACTTGCAAGAGTCATTTCCCTCTTTCCACCAGCATGAGCTCTGGGGATCACACTTGGGTCATTGGGTTTGGTGGCTCAAGTGTCCTTACCCACAGAGCCATTTCACCAACTGTGAAGTTGCTACTTTTTATTTGTAGCAACAAATACAATGTCTCTCCAACATTTGCAATATTTACAAATGAGTCCTAAAAGCCCCCCTGATCCTAGAGAGTTGTTAACATGAGAAATCCCTCCTCCTGTCTCTACTCAGTGTGTGAACACTGGGGAATACTATGGGAAGATTTTCACTTTCCCATCAATTCTCATTTGGGGGCATTTCCTAGCAACAAGTTCTAGATGCAAGCTGGACATGAACCAGGGCTTTCTCTGATGATCCACCAAGGCATAATTTGAGACAACTGATGTCCAGACAATGGGGGACTTGACAAAGAATCCCAGTGATTGATGGGAAAGTCAGGGCAGGGGCAAGGTCTCCCTTTTAGACAGGCTCTTTGCCATCCCATCACAATGACCACTGTCTCTCATATCCAACTGAGCTTCTGTGCTTTGCCTGTTGCCTCACGCTGACCTGTACCAACCACTAAAAGACTCCCATGAAAACAAAGATGTTCAGACACTTGCTGGAAACAACATGATGGGTCTTTCTGGGAAACAACTTGGTCCTGTGCACAGCTGAGACCCGAACCAAGGTATAAAGGCACTCAGGTTTCTTGTAGAATTTCCCTGATGAGTTTCCCTTACTGATTAAATATTTTTAAATGAATGGTCATCTATGTGTCCAAATATGTTTACAAAGCTATGTTCACCGAACTCTTGATACAGCTTAAAGCAGAGTGGAGCTTGTTCAAAGACCCAAGTTCTATCTACAACACCAGAAGAATTAGTCCGGGGGTTGAAAGATGACTCGACTGGTAAAGTACTTACCAAACAACATGAGAGCCTGAACTTGGTCCCTAGCACTCATGGGAAGAGCTAGGCAGCAGACAGGCACGCACTTACGATCCCAGTCCTGGGGAAACTGACCGGACAATTCCTGGGACTCACTGGCCTGACAGTCTAGTGGAATTGGCAAGTCTCAGACTGGCCTCCACAAGCACATGCACATGCGCGCACGATTGTGGGCATGCATGCCATTGAACACACACACAGCCTCACTCTCCACCCCCCCCACCTCCCCACACATACATACACATACGTAGGTATGGGGGAGGGGTGGTGGCCTCAAGCTCCCTCACCTGCTTAGTGTCTAGTATTAGGTAAATAACTAACTGCCACAAGCAACCTCACAGGAAAAGGGGGATGATGTATAAGTCTCAGCTCTCAGAGTGTAGGGTTAGGGTGTTGATATCAATCAATAAGTTAGTATCCCGAGTCTGGGTGTGCCCTATTTTTACTACTGATTCAAAACACACAGATTATAATATACGCCAAATAGAGTGTAGAGTACTGCTGACAGTGGAATATCCATTCAGTTTTCCATTGAAAATAAACAAAACACTGTCTGAGGGATACCCTTAAAGTCCACAAGATATGGCCAGGACCACCAGGTTGAAACAAGGTATGATTTGCCTTTCTGCTAGGTCGATGTTTGCACTAAGGAGCAGAAACAATAGCAGATGAGGGCTGAATGCTCCGCAAAGCCAAGCGGCAATAGCTAATATTCCCAGATTATTACCATTCATTACAAAAAGCATTCCTGAGAAAGCATTAACATCACATTTATTAAACCCTGATCTATACTTTCGCATCTTTTAATTACTCTGCGTAAGAAAGTGGAGACCAAGCATTAAACTCTTTTCTGCACACTACATTATGGTCGTACCAAGTCCTGAGGGCAAAAAACATAAACAAAACACCATACCAGCAGTCAGCTATCAGCTAACCTAGCCACCTTTTCATGAAATTCCACTTTTTGTTGCTGTTGAAAGACTATTCTGGAAGACCATTTACTCTGATTTGGGCATCTTACAGATATTTTTCCTAAATTTCAGGGCTACAGCCTACAGCTTCAAAAACAAAAATCAAACAAACAAAAATATGTTAATGATGATAAAATGGAGCTACTCCCTATAGTTGAAATTTTCCCTCTGTCTCTCGAAGGCCCACTTGCTGGTCCCTGCAGCTTCTTGTGAAATTATCACTCAGAGGCCAATATTAAATGTAATTGCTCGGCTAATGGCTCAGGCTTATTACTGGCTAGCTCTCACAATTAAAATTAACCCATATTAATCTGTGTATCCTTACACCTGTGGCTTACCAGTAATGTTCTGGCATCTTACTTCTACGGCAGTTACATAGCATCTCCTGACTCTGCCTTCTTTTTCTCCGTAACTCTGTTTGGATTTCCCACCTAGCTATATTCTGCCTGGCCATTGGCCAAAACAGCTTTATTCATCAACCAATAAAAGCAACACATACTCACAGCACTCAGAAGGATGTCCCACATCTACTCCCATTAATAAACCTGCTTGTTATGATCAGTAGATATAACAGAAATGAAATATGTTGGGACTGAAGAGGTGGCTCAGCAGTTAAGAGCACTGGCTGCTCCTGTAGAGGAACTTGGTTCAATTCCAAGCATCCACAACCCCGATTCACAACTTCAGGGAACCCAATGCCCCCATGTCAGTAAGTGGAGGCACCCATGGGCACATAAGTGGTGCACAGATAAACTTGTAGGCAAAACACCCATTCATGTAAAGCAAACACACTAGTTTTTAAATGAGACATGTCAACACCAGAAGACCTGAAACACTCAGTGACTCACTCTTCAGATGAAAATATAAGCAGTTATAAAGCCCTCTGTGGCAAGATGGATTTGAATATGTCAAAGCAGGAAAAATTCATTCACATCCCATATTGAAAACAGCCTTAAAAAACTGAACTTTTAAGTTTGGATAATGTCAAAGAAAAACACTCAGAATCTCAGACATGACTAAGACTCTTTTGTTGTACATCTCTGCAGGATCAGATGTCCACACTGTCTTCAACCAAAGCCATGTCCTGCGACAGACTGAACTGGGACACAGATGCAAGGAAGTCACTGACTCCCACTAAGACAGCAGTTAAAGAGATTTGAAAACAAAATGTAGCAACCAATGTTGTTCTCTTCATTTTTTAATTATGTTATATATGAAAAGTTGAACATTTTGATTTGGTTGGTCAGTCTGGAGCATTTGAGACAGAGTTGTACAGTGTTGTTGTACAGTGTAGACCTGCCTTACAATCATGAGAATCCTCCTCCATCAGCCTACCCACACCCATGCTGGGTTTACAGGTATATGACCCATGCCCGGTTTGGAAGGGATTCATTATCCTTACTTAGAAATTAATTAGCAAATGAGTGTTAAAAATTCTCCAGGCGAGTTCCTAACTTGAAAAGTGTGGACAAATACAAAGAGGAGCCTCTTTGTGAACCAAAATAACTGTTAAAATAATTAAAGAGTTATTGGACTCCTCAAAGTGTTGGGGCTTCTGGGTTGAGCAGGTTGCATCCCGGCCTCAAGTCAAAGCAATTGCTTTGGACCTCAATCCATCTAGCTGTAGCCAGTAAGCCATGCTATCCCCTCCCTGTCTCTGTGATGGGGATGTAGGTCAGAAGCCACCACCGTAACCTGCAAGGCAAGAGACTAAGAAGCATCACCGGAGAAATGTGCCAAATGAGTCCTTGGGGACAACCGGGAGTTAGACTTTGGGCATCTTTCTAGAATTTGTATATGGAGAAGTAGGGGTAGCCTGCTCTCACTCTCAAGATTGTTTCTTTTTGCTAACTGGCTTCTTTCAATACATACACAGCTTCTGTCAGTCTCAATCTGGGCCCGGTGAAACCCTCAGGCACCATTCCCTGGTAAAGCACATGGTGAACTTCAAAGATACCATTTTGCGCCGATGATGCATCAGATTTATGAGGAGTTTAAGAGCTCTTGGATTTTGCTGAAGGGGTCTGTCAGTCAGTACTCTTGGGCTCATACACATCCCTGTGCAGAGGCGGAGGAGCCCCTACTTGCCTTCAGTGTCACTGTCTTACACAATTATGGTTCAAGAGTCCCCCACAGGCTCTCAGCTAAGAAACTTCAGTGTCAACCTATGTGCTAAGTCATCACTGATCAAAGGGAAAGCTGTATTAGTACTTCACTGTTAAGCATCCACTTTATAAAGAGAATACAATACTTAAGTACAATGTAAAGACCTGCAAACAGCAGATTTATGAACGTGTACTATTTTTAAAAACATGATTTTTTTTTTTCAGGCACAAAAGGTTTTCCACAGGCACTTAAAAATAACTTTAACACTTTGCTCCCATCCAGACGAAATTCCAGAGAGATGAGAGATGAGACCAGATTCCAGATAGATGAGTCAAGTACTTGAGTCAAGACACAGATCTAGGCTGTCCCAAAGTTAATGCAGTCGTACTTCCTGACACAAGCCTATTATTCTAACTTCTCAAGAAGATGAAGTGGGAGGACCACAAGTTCAAAGCCTCCTCAGACAATGAGCAGATTCAAAGCTAGCCTATGAAAGCTTTGCAGACACCGCCTCAAGGTAAAAACTACAACGGGGAGCTGGGAATATAGCTCGGTGGTAGAACAGCTGCCTCACGTGCACAAGGCTGTCTAACGCCCAGTGCTGGGAAAATCTTTACTTCTCTCAGAAGACGTGCCGCATGCCGCCTTTGCTAACACCAACAGATCAGT